TAGAAGGAAGCTATGGTAATGTGAGAAGGAAAAAGGAAGAAAAAGTGAGATTATTGAAGATGGAGGGTGGCCATATAAAAAAAAAAGGGGGAAGAGGAAAAATACCATGCAAGGGAATTGGGTGAAGAAAGTCGAGAAGAGCAGACTTAAGGTCTCAACCTGGGGCCAAACTTTTCTAACATACAGTCCGTCTGGAAGTGATCACTGTTGAAAAATGAATACGCTCACATAGAAACAGACCCCACATACAAAAAATTCACAACTTTACCAGATGTCAGGCATATGATTCAGTAGTTTAGCCCACAGAGAACTCCTCACTCACTCACCACTGATATTTGGTGAGATGTGAGAAATGTGTGGTTAGATCAGTGAAAAGAGCTGTTCACACACTTCTGTCCCTGTTCTTAAGCTGTTCCTCACCGTTCGTTCAGCCACACCGACTTTCTGTTCAGCCACATCGAATCTTTTTCACCTGCAAGGACACACAAACGTCTCATCCCGCTGATCAAACTCACCGTGCCATCTGGGCCAATCAGAGTAGCTCAAGACAAGATCTGGACAGTATGTAGATGAGCCAGAGCAGCACATATGCTGCACCAAGAGGTTAAATATTATAAGACTTGCTTTAGTCAGTTATTGCAGGAAGAGAGCTGATAAATAGTAAAAATTTAACTTAATTCACAATGATATTAAAAGGGATACTCAGATTACATCCTACCACAGCTCATTGGCAACTAAAGACTCATTTTGCTGTTATTTTTAAATCTGAGCTTTATACTAATTTTCTGTCCACTTTATTCAAACAGTCTGAACCTAAATAAACAAGAATCGTTAGAAAAAGTATAAAAGGATTTAAAGAAAGCTCTACAGCTGGTGATGAATGACGCAGAATTTGTGTGATATATTTACTGGATTCTAACTATTTGTCAATTACATGTAAATCTCAATAAATTAATTTGGATGATCGTAGTTCACATCCAATGAAAAGCCACATTTTGGCCTGATGCAGTATTGAGGAACTCTGTTGGCTTGTTGGAAGCCCTCCTTGAGGAAAATAAGTCAGCTTTTGTTTTCTGAAAAAGCTGGTTGTTCACAAAGGGCTGTTAATGGAAAGTTGAATAGAAAGAAAAACACACAGCGACAGCAGTTCATTGTGAATCTGTGTAATATACATGTTTCACGGAATTACCGGTACCGGCTTAAAATAACTTTTTAATAATAATCTAATTCATTAAGAGTCATTGTTTTTATAATGCCAAGTCACATGACATGGCTTGCTCCACTGCCCGTTAAAGAAAAAGCCAGATACAGCAGAATAAAAAGGCTCACCCTTGACAGAGCTGCTTATTTTAAAAAGTTTTGTCATGTGTAGACATAGCATGGCTTCGTTGCTGGAGTTCAAGAGGCTCTTTGTTCGTGGGTGAGTCATGGGTATTCATTAACTAAGGAGTCCTGATGCTGAATGCAAACTCAGATTTCCACCTGATTGTACCATTGAACAGGCAGTTATACAAGCAGTTTGAGTTTTGGTTTGGTTCTTGCATGCTGTGAAATTGACTGAGAATTGAGTTCAGTCTATTTATTATCGAATATAACAAATAAAGAGGAAAAATATGATTTCCTAGGAATGAAGTTGCAGCATTTCTTATGACTAGCTGTGAAAAATATTGCAGAAATATATTTTTGTTCACAAGACTCCCAAATGTCTGTGAAGGGTAATAAAGTCATTACAAGTCAATATCTTGATAGCTGGAATGCTTTCATCTCCCCTGCTGATATTAGTTCAGTATTTTCTGCTATTTACGTCTGTTTTTCTCCATCAGCCCACATATTCTCAATGGCAGACAGTCCTGTCTTGGACAGCTTCCCAGCTGTCCTGTCCTGTCTTGCTCACGGCTGTCTTTTTATATATTTATCCATTACTTTGTTTGAGTCACATAGGTTTTCATTGTTCCAGCTTCATTACAGGTGTCTCTGTTGAATGATATCATCACAACTGAGCACGTCTGAGATACAAATCCATGCTGCGCACATGGTTTGTGTTTCTGTCTCATGGTAACCATGGCACAAGAGGTATGTTGCACCCTGCACAGCTCACTTGTCCATCACTGACGTGGACTGGTTTGTGGATTGCAAAAAATGTTTTTGTTATTTTTTTACATTAGTTTACTTAGTTTCCCTATTTCAGAATATGACTCTTAAATTAGGAACATGTGGAAAAACACCCTGAAGAGAAAACCAAGTTGAATGGTTTTAGATTCAGTTTGGAGTCCACCAGCTGTACATCCTCACTTGTCGAAGTTTATTCACCATCTCTTCCAAATGTTCTCCAAATCTGTCAAATTGTGAAGAAATCTTTTTTTTTAATGAAATCCATATGAAATGTCACACATTTTCATCACTAGCATTAGTCCTAAACTTTGGTTTTGACCTTTTCAAAAACATCTTGAGTCATTAAATCATTTTTTTTGCTAATTTTAACAAGCTTTTCACTATTCCGAAAATAAAATCCTGATGAGGTTTTCTAGCAGACACCTTCTGGACATCAGTCCAGAAGTTTTGGATCAATGCTAACTTTCAGTTGGAACAGATTATTATATCCTCCTGGAAAATAAACAGATTTCAGTCTAGGTGAAAGAGCCACCAAATCCCTTTCATCATAACCTTTCACAAAGGTCACAGTGTGCTTTCGATAATTTGTATTGTTGCTCATGTGCCAAATATAACATCTGCAACTTGTGGCCCAAACATTCACCTCCCACAGGGTTTTAGGAAATTTTAGCCAGGCATAGATGTTTACTTTGGACAAAAATATGTCAGTCTTGTAATCCTATTCCAGACATTCAGAGAAGACAGCCGATTGTTGTCACATGGAGAACACAAACACTTGCCAGAATTGTCTCCAGGCCCACAGTGTTGCACGTCTCTTGTTTAGAGTCATCTTTTGGTGATGTTGTCCCACCCGGACATCTGATTTTTATTATAGGGTAATAAGAGTGACATAATTGATGACTGATGTGAAGTCAGGAGGACTGAATGCTAAATTTGCATACAAAATTGCTTCAACAAGGTAACAGCTTGTGAGCACCTATTTGTATCTAGGTTATTGCAACTTTTCTTTTTTTTACTCAAGGGAATTCTGCAGGCTATGTGTCGCATGTAAAGTTGAAAAAATACAAAGAACCTTTGATCCGAGCGTGCATACTTCCACTACATGTTATAGGTTTTTTTTCTTGTAGTGTTTTAACAATTTTGACAGCTTGTCTCAAGCATAATTAACATTTAATAAACATACGATATGTCTCAAATTGTTTGACTGGACTCAGATATCCATATATCCTCAGATACGATAGAACACTATTGTCCTATTGAAGGGATAGAGGATGTTTTCCTCACAGCTTACAGAGAAGATATTGTAAGCCGTTTTAATTAGCTTAGAAAAAGAATGTTTTTTGAAGTTCCAAGAGAAGCTCTGGAAAAAATTAAGAAACCACTGAACATTTTTTTTCCCTCTTATCAGCAGATGTATGTGTGTGACAGTCATTGCATTCCAGTGTGTCTCCATCACCCATCACTAAATGCTTGAAGAAGATTGGTTAGATGAACTCAAAAGCAATGTGAAAGACCGGTAGAGAGCAAGTGTGAAAGACGAGCAGGATTATTCCAACAAATACTAATTTCTGAAGTCCTTCTAAGCTTAAACACTTGTTTTATGTTCTGTAAAGATGCTGATGTGTTTGCTTTATTGGAGGTTTAATAATATTTTTTGACATCTTGTCATTTTCTGCAAATAAATGCTCTAAAAGTCAATAGTACATTTGGATTTTGGGAGAAATATTCTTGGAAGCTCATTAAATCAAACTACCTTTATTTTACTCATGTATTTTTAAATGTTAAGATTAGTCGTCTGATTTTTTTCCTAGAGTTGTATATTCTTAAGACTCTTCTTGTGAAGACTTTAAGGAAGTTGCAGTTTCTCTGTTGTCTTCATCTAATTGAATACATAAAAAAAAAAAAAATACTCACTTTATTGTTTTTGGCTGTCCTGTGAATAAGCTGCACCTGGTACTCTGATGAATCTAATCAGCTGATAAGAAGTTAAACAGACAAACCAGACTGAATGTTAACATCTGGTTGAATGTTAACTTACCTTTATCTTTGCAACTAGGAATCTAGTAGCTGCTGCAGGCTTTTTGTTTCCTTCTCTATAGAGTGAAGATGAAATCAGGTTCAAAAAGTCTTTGTTGTTACTAAGCCCAAACTCTCTAGGTTCTGCATACAAGGACTTCTTTGAAATCAATTAAACACAGAACAGGAAATACATAAATATTATAAATAATTATAATATTTGTAATATTAAGATGTTTTACCAATATATTTTTATTTAGTTCGATTTCTGACTACAATCGAACTAAGCCTGTTGTAGTTATCGCTCAGTTGTCTGTTTTCCCTGCAATCAGGTGTGGTTCTTCCATCCACTGCTATCAACTTGTGGTGTCGTATGATTTCCATCCTAATTGTCATTTAGGTTATTGCTTGAGTGAAACTTGCTCCATTTTATACAAATAATCTAAATGTTGTTTTGGAGTATATTACAATCTATATAAGCTCCTTTGAGTTAAAATAAGATGTCATCAGATATGTAGACAAACATCTCACCTTACTGTAAAATCGAGAGCATGGCGCCGTTTTTACCTTTTCCAAAGCAAAACACATAGTAAGCCCCTCCCCCTCAGCAAGGAAGTTTCCCTGCAGAGCAAGCGCAGCCTGTTTAGGCGACTCCACCCACCTTGAATACAATAAGAGTGGGCACCAACCTGTTATGGAGTGAAAATGTGCACGATGACGGGACCTGGCCTGTAACAGCCTCCATGTGGCTGAAAGTGCATGTCCAGGCAGCTGTCTCATGGCCCTCACAGACTGTGGGAACCTGGATAAATGTGTGTTAGCTCTGGGCCAAGGAACAATCCTAACCCATGTCTCTGTGTTTCTTTTTTCAGTCCGCTGCAGTCTCTGATGGAGGTGAGTACATGAGCCTTTTAAACTTTTAACACCAGCCAGAATGCTTTCTTATTACATTTTGAATCTCAGCAGTGGCCTTACAACTGGGTTATGATAAAAGACCAACTTTAGAGTATTATGTTCAGCCACTTAAACACTTCTGTACCAAGAGAAATAAATCTTACCTGTAGATGTCTTTTTATGTATTTTGCTGCTAAACTTCTTATTGTTTCTAAAGTTATTTGAGTCCTTTTAGTGTGCTGGGAACTTCCTTGTTCTTCCTGGTGCCATTTTTCCCTCTCAGTACTGAATACTGGTTCTTCCAAACTGACTAAAGGCATGAGTGCTCGCTGTTGTTTCTCTGGGTTTCAAATCAGATCTACAAGTGAGTTTATGCCATTTGGGTCAAATTCAGTGGTAAAACATACAGTAGTCTTGTTTATTGTTTTCTTTGGGTACAATCTGGTTCAACCTGCTCAGCTCCTTCCCCACCTCTGTCTGCTCTTCACCAGCTGCAATCACTGCACAGTCTCATATGTGTCAGCATATTAACTGTGTGGAGATATGCAGCAAAACGTACATAACACATTGACTGTGAGCTTAAATTAGTTGCTCCTTTCCAGCAACAGACAAATTTCACTTTTATGCTGGATTTGTGAGATTATTTCAGAAATTAGCTCATTTGTTGTGTCTAATTGAACTCTGAAAGGATGCTGGTGCTTTTGCGTTCCTCGTAATATAGCAATTTCACCCTGTAGCTATTTCCAACCTTTGCACTTTCAATAGTTTTGCATTGAACATTTCCAACTTTAAATTGGAGACATCTGCCACAGGACGTTTTGCAGCAGTATTCATTTGGATTTGCCAGGGGAATGTTTTATATTCACTCTGAACTATCCAAAGTACTTCACTACATTTTGCTCATAGAGAAACCAAAGAAAATTTGGTTAGAGGAGTTCTATAATTAATGTCCACCAGGAGGAGGTCACTTGAGGTTATTTTGATTTTAATTGGTCATATTTAATTCGAGTCATCTGGCCTAAATAAAGATCAGAAGCTCAACTAATGGAAAAAGTTAAAAATAAAGTCTTTGGAAAATTTTACAGAATGCAATCCAATTATACATGAAAAATGACATGTTGACCTTTTCATGATTTTTCATCCCTGGAAGATATCATAATCAGACTAACACAAATGTAATTTGTGTTCCTAATACTTTCTGCATTGACACTTAAAACTACCTAGAAAATTGAGGTGATACAGATATGTTATCTTTATTCAGGTGCAAATTTATAGAAGGCCGGAAACCAAATGTCACTTGGGTATGAATTTACCACTTTACAAATGGATTTACTTGATCCAGGGCCAACATTTCTGAAGCTGTGCTGTGTCACAACATGTTTTTCTTGCCAAGTTCTTGCATGTTGCAATGAATTAACATGTGGATACATTCAGATGGGATTTTAGCACCCCAGAAATTTACATATCAGGCTTAACTGAGGGCAGATGGGAGATAAAAGATGTAAGAAGTGGTAGACCAAAGGTTTTTAAAGGTTTGTAGTTGACGCTCAGTTTTAATGTAGAAAAGTTTATGATCTTATTTAACTAAGACCAGTGAATCACTGTTTTGTGGCATATGAGCAAAGTTAAAACCATTCTGTGCTCGTGTGTGAGAGATAAGATTGTAACATTTATGGAAAAAAAATATTTTCCTTAACATCAATTGGTCCGTTCTTTAAATTTATTTTGAGAAAAACTGAGTTTTTAGTTTGCATTATCATCATGAAAGCTACTGTCATTGTCAATGCACTAACAGCAGAAAGTAGTTATTAGACCTATTTGTAAAATTGAAAAATAAATATTTTTGCTGTGTTCAGTTTTACCTACTTCACAGGTATGATGTGCTCGGTGTATTTATTTAGAAATACAATCTATAGACTTTCACCATCATTCAGTCATTGCTAGTTTTTCTTCCTTTCAAAATGTGCCGCCCTATCATGCTGTGAGCTTTTCATGCTTACACATCTTATGTCTGCACTGTGTGGATAAGATGAAAATCAAGTTTGTTGTTTTTTACACCACTTGGTACTGTAGTTGTCATTAATGCTCTTCAACGGTAATGCACTAAATATGTGCAGAATCAACACAATAAAGCCTAGAATGGATCTGTTCTGTAAAGTGTGACATCTTTAGAGAGAAGAGAGAGGACAGTCCCCCGTGGGGCGTCCGAGTTCTTCACTGTGAGGTACAAATTGTGGTAAATGTGGTCTGTAGTCACCAGTTTGTTCATGTGTGAATAAACCATCTTGAATTTACCTTCAGTATTCTAGCCAGAGATGTGTTAACATCACATTATAGTGTTTGATTCTTTATTGTAGATTCTTCCAGTTATATCTGTAGTTTTTTGCTGTGAATCCTTTTAAACAGTTTCATTTGAGAAGGTTAAACATAGTATGGGCTCTTTAATTCATCAAAAAGTATAAATGGCAGCTTTTTATCCTGTGTGTGTGTGTGTGTGTGTGTGTGTGTGTGTGTGTGTGTGTGTGTGTGTGTGTGTAGTAGCATTGGGGTTCAGGCTTCATTAGTCTCAGTAGTGGCCTTCCTTTAACGAGCCCTTCATCAATGCTGTGCTTCCAGTGTGTGTGTTTCTGTGACCTGAGTTTGTGTTTGTGCTTTAGTGTCCCCTCCCTCGACTCTGAATTATTTACCATCTCGAGGCCTGCGTGCACTTGGATCACTTACCTAGCTGGAAGCTAGTGCCTGTGTGTTAGTGCGCATGCAGGTGCGTGTGCCGTCTGCGACCCAACTCTCTCTGTGGTTCCTCAGGTTGTCATCCAGGTTGCTAACCAACGGCAGCGTCTCCTTCTGCACCTTTTTCTCTTTCCCCCTCTTTCCAGTCTCTTCCTCCCTGTGATGCCAGCTGTTTGTGCCCTTTATTGGACTATTTGTTCAGGCTGGAGTGTTTGAGGTTTTGAGGGTTGGGTGGGGGGGGAGTGAGAGGTCCCCTGATAAGGTGATTATGGATGGAGGGGCTTGGTTACCCCAAAGGATTCGATACCTGCCCCGCTGGCACCACACAGGCTCCTACCAGCTCTACCCAGGTGAGGAGATCGCAGGAGTTTTCATAGATTGTTTTCCGGCTGGAGGAAAATGTAGAGCGCCAGAAGGAGCAATAAAACTCACTGAATGGTGGAGACTGTGGTATTGAATATCTTAGTTACTATACCGGTTGAGTTTTAAGAGAATGCTGCGGCTGGTGATAAAATATTGTTTTTTGGTTTTTTTTTTTAATTTAGTGTGTACTGCACATTTAGCATTTTGGCTAATCACTCCATTTATTACAACAAAAAACTGCTTAACGTCGCACTATTAAAAGTGTAGACAGTAATTTAAGACAGGAAAATGTTTGTTTACCTTTTGTGTGCTGACTCTACCTACTGCCCTGTCTGTTAAGCAGAACTGGCGTAAATTCTGGATTTTAGGTTTGTGGACATGGATAAGCTAAACAATTTCTCCTGTGAGTCTCGTGGCAAAAAAACATCTGTTGCTAAAGTTTTCATACCTCTTGAAATATTTTACAGGTTTTCAAATTACATTCAAAAAACATAATGGAATATTTCTTTTGGGATTTTATGTGACAGCCCAACACAAAGCAGTGTGGATTTGAAAGAAGCGGGTAGATAGAAGTCGGTTCTCTGCTAAGACGACTGTGAAATTGAACATTTTTGCCAACATGCAAAACTCTTGAGTAGTGAAAAAATAACACACTGTGGAAATATTAGCTGCTGGGTGAGATCTCCCTCACATCATGTTTTTGTGCGAAACAAAAAAAATGCGATTCAATAAGATATTATAATCTGCTGTATAAAGCCACTGCTTAGTTAGACTTTTTTGAGAGAACTTTGTTTTATCAGTCTGTCTCTGTGATATGTGCAGTGGGGTCTGTGACGCTGAACAGAGCACATGGTTTAGACAGCACAGACAGGTTTACACAGATTAATGTTTTCTGCTTATATACAGTGACAAATATTCATTAATATTTAGCAGAAGCCTCTGGAGTTTATTTTAATCTGCCCTTGAAGAGAACTTTGCTGTGAAATGTGTGGATAAAAACAAGTCATGTTGGTGCAAACAATTTTAAAGCTCCGGTGTGAAAACTGTCACTGATAAATAATAATAATAAATGTAAAAAAGTAAGAAATGAAGTGCAAAAGCAGAAGTCACATTGAAAGTGTCCACCGATTGCCCGGATCGGAGGTTTTTAATCAGAGAGGACTTTAGCTATGGGTATAATCCTCCTTTCACATATTTTTTTTTACACTTATTTACAGCATCTGCGTTGTTCAGGGCACCTGACTGCCACTGTCCTCCCTGTGGCTGTTCTCCCTTTGGTTTTATCTCAACATAGCAGGCCACTTTCTGTTAGTCTGGCCTGCAGCTCATCGCTGGTTATTCTCAGCTCCCCTCCTTCCCTCCTGATCAGAGCTCAATGGCAGGAACACGGGCACAATACAGCGGAGGAGTGGGAAAAACAAGCAATTCTTGGATTGACCAAGATTCTCCCAAGAATAATACAGCACAGATTGATTCAGAAAGCCTATTAGATTAAATATTACAAGTGTTTTTAGAATTGTGACTGTTTTCAGAAACAGAATCAGCTTTATTTTGGGCACTAATAAGGGTCAAGTGCCCACAGCATGTAGACATTAAGTGTAAACAAAACAGAAGATGTTCTCCCAGGGCAGGTTTCTTCCTGTGCTTTAAAACTGACAGGGGAAACATTGGTGCCTAATGAGTTCCAGTGTGACTGTGTTGTTTTCAGTAAAATCACAGCGGACTCCACTGAAATTCCCTCTTGGGTCCATCACTACACCCAGATTTTGGACCTCATCGCTAGTTTCCAGCTGTAAAAGCTGAAGCTGTGTGCTGTTCCTCTTCAGGTCCAAAGATAATAACTTTTGTATTTCTGTTGGCCTGGAGAAAGTTACAGCACATCCACGCATTGATTTGTTCTAAGCATCTGTTCAATGCTGGGATGGGTTGCTCTGTGTATCATCACCAGAGTTATGTTAACAATAACTAATCTTATTACGTGTTATAATCTGAGATAATAGGAGCTTGCAGGGATTAAATAAGAGTAACCCCAAGATGGAACCTTGGGGGACCTCATATGTCTTGTGAAACAAGATGGTGTTACAATACTGATGTAACTTAATATTTGTAAAATTAATTCAGATCTCATTTTGTTTTGCTGTTGATGTAAAAAGAGTAAAAAAAAAAAGTATGCAAATAATTGCAAACAAAATAATCTTGTAATCAAAAGGTTGCAGTTTTAGCCACAGGGTCTGATTAAAAGTGCTTTTCAGGTTCAGCATTTTTATCATCATTTACCGATTCTGATTTCCCATTTCACAAACGTCTGACTTTGTGAAGTCAAATATCAATAGAATACATTTTCTTATCCTAAGGCTTTTGCTGGCATAGCAGATTTGAACCGTAACAGAAAATGTAAGAAACTACGGCAACTTAGTGGAGAAAGTCGCTTTGGACTTTGAAATGTGTGGATTTGATTCCAGCTTCCGTATGTTGATATGCCCCTAGGTAAACCCAATTAGATCTGTGTATCTGTGTGTAAATGTGTATCTGCGTGAATGTGGCTCTCCTGTAAAGTTCTTTGTGTAACTAGAAAAGCACTCCTAGAAATCTACTAAATTTACTACTTAATAAATTATGCCATTATCCCTGTTTATGCAAGAAAGAAAAACATTTGGCTCTTCTTTTCAACTCACAGTATCCAATAATAGACTTGTCAGTGACTGATCATAACTAATCAAGTTAAAACTGTCCGAACACAGGCAGATCAATATGCATATCACTACATTTGAGTGGCTTCAGCCTTTAATGTTACATGTGGATTTGTTTTTGTAAACAGAGCTGAACAGCGTGGAGCTGCAGGGCTGCAGCAGTGACAACAGTCTGAACAGCAATGCTAGCCTTCCCAGCGTCCAGAGTCACCGGCGCCACACCGAGAGGAGGGTGGCCAGTTGGGCCGTCTGCTTCGAGCGGCTGCTGCAGGACCCTGTAGCAGTCCGCTACTTTTCGGTAAAATAACATTGCCTGAACGTCGCTCACCAGCAGATGCTGTGGACAAAGAGACTCTAAATGTGTTTGTTAATGATAATGTATCATACATTTATAATGGTTTTTATTATTATTATTATTATTACAAGTGTAAAAAGTGAGTGTTAGCGTAATTGTTTTGCTGCAGAATTGTGATGAACATTTCTAAGTATCAAAATACTTTGTCAGACTTCTGACAGTCAATCAAATTTTCACTAGAATCTGCCGTTATTTCAAAGGTTTCATGATACCACATAGTATATATAACAAGATTCCCAGGAACTTAGGGAGCGAATCAAGCCCACTGCATCACAGATCCTCCACCGTACCTAAAAGTGGGTGACAAACCTGCTTTTGTTAAAAGGTTGAATTCAATCTTTATCTGACCTAAACACATGACTCCAGTTGAAGTCCAAGTAGATTTAGTAAACTCCACACATTTTGACTTTTAGATATAAAAGTGGGCTAACATTTAGCGACCCTGAGATGCCTGTCTTTGCTGCATCTTTCTAATGTGAGAGAGGTTTTCTTTTAACTTCTTTACCACCTTCCTTCCTCTTCTTGCTGACAAGATAAACATGAGTCCTCATCCAACTTAGTGACTGGTAACTGAAGTGGCTCTCTGGACTTCTCTGTTTACTTCTGTTTATTTTAAATAGTTTGTTTGGTAACTATTACATTTTTTATGGATATGTTTACAAATTGTTTGTTTAAGAACAACAATACAACACAAAACAAAAGCTCAGCAGTGCTTTGCAGTCCAAAGGAGAGAAAAAGGAAAAGTAAATATAGGGAGCAGACATATTTTCATCATTTTATAGTCAAAGTCTAAGAATTTATGAACAGGATGGTGCACATGCGGTCACAATATATGTGGTCAACATATAGATTAATATATTGCTTGTGATTGCCATCCTTTATTTATTTATTTATTTATTTATTTATTTATTTATTTATTTATATCTAGTCATTTTGAACTTGTTACTTTTAGGTATATATTTATATACATAAATTTTAGAAATCCTAAAATTTAGGATTATTTTTTTATTTATCACAAAATATATATATATATATATTTTGGTGATATTCTGCTACAGGAACAGCAGGTTTAGGGTTTTTTAAACATTTTCGTCTGCTTGCTTCCTGAATTTAGCTGGCACCGTAAATATAGCACTATTAAGTTATCACAACACATTTTTACTCAGTATTATACACAGCTGTGTGAATCGTATCAAACGGATCCTGCTTTTACTTTTTACACCAGAACAAATGTGTCTTCCAATTTTTTCTAAAATGGAAAAAAACAAAATGTTCCCTTCCTACACTCACTCCTGTCAGCACTTTTGCGGATGTTGCTACATGTTTCTGATTAAGACCAATACATGAATTTGTCTGATTGTTTTATTTGCCTTGTTTTATTTGCCTTCCATTTTTAATCCATGTTTCATTTATTTTCTGCAGGAGTTCCTAAAGAAGGAGTTCAGTGAGGAGAACATCCTGTTCTGGCAGGCCTGTGAATTCTTCAGCCATGTTCCTGAGAATGACAACAAGCAGGTAACACACCGTATTTGATTAATACTTTTAGTACAGACTTGCATCCATTTGAATTCCTCTCATAGTATATTATTGGGCATTCGACTGTAGTAAATCCTTCTTTTCCTTATTTATTTATTTATTTTAGCTCTCACAGCGTGCCAGAGAGATCTACAACAGCTTCCTTTCCAGTAAAGCAACAACACCGGTCAACATCGACAGTCAAGCCCAGCTTGCTGACGATATCCTCAACGCGCCAAAACCTGACATGTTCAAGGAGCAGCAGCTGCAGGTACGGAGGCACATTTTTATAAAGGCTTCCACTACAGTCGAACCTTTCAAAAGCAAAAAAAAAAAAGAGCCACTTCCTGTGAGACTAATTTATTATTCTTCTTAAAAGTGAATCAAAACATAACTCCTTTGAAAATGCTCTCTGAACACAGTGTCAAGTGCTCATACAACACAAGGCCAGTCATTCATCTTTGCCTGCTGTCGAGCAACGCTGGCCTGAATGGCTTCTTACACACACAAGTTGTCGACGGGGCACAGTGTCTGAAAAACCCTATTGATTTCAGCTGCGGAGCTCAGATGTTCAAACTCTGATAAGGAAGTCACAAGGCCTGAAGGATATCCTCTCTATCATGCTTTTTTTTTTTTTTTTTTTACATATCAGACACCCACACATTTTCTGTTCAATAACCACACACACATCGAAAAGCCTGATGGTAACCTTGCCAGAATGTCTTGGGATTGATGTTATATCCATGAATGCATCACAGTCTTCTGTTTTCTTGACCTTTCATTTCAAAAGATAAATATTTTATCTTATATTTTCAATCACAAATAGGATGTATACAAGTTGATTATGTTTTTTGCGTCTTGAAGTTTTTCACATTTTGTCATGTTAGGATTTTATGTGTCAGACCAACACAAATTAGTGTTAATGGAAAATGGATACATGGCTTTTAAAGTTATTATACAAATACATGTCTAAAAGGTGAGGTATGCATGTTTTTTTGTCCTCTGAGTTTCTATTTTCCAGAACCAGATATTGTTACAGAACCAGATATTGTTACATTTTCATTGTTACATCACACAGCTGGTCTTCTGGAGTTTGTCTTTTCCGGTCTCAAGCAATTGCGGAGCGTCTGAACCTCAGTTTTGAAGCATTAACAAATATTCTCTAATGGATTGATGTTTGGACTTTGGACAGTTTTAACACACTGTAATGCTTTGACACATTGTAGCTTGAGTTATATATTTATTGTATTTGTCTTGCTGGACATATTCCATGGCCTTCATGATGCTGTTTCTTCTGAAACAAACTTCTGAGGCCTTCACAGAACAGCTGGATTCATATTAGATTAATTTACACACAAATTACAGTTCACAGGTTGTACTCAATTTTTTTTTAAATCAAATCAAGAGGTACTGAAAACAAGAGCATGTCACACATTTCATATTTTTCTTTTCTTGTTAAAAAAAACAGTTATTTGTTCAAGCATTAAAAATACTTTTTCTAAGACACCAATTATATTATGTGACGTTGTGCTCCCAGGTATTTGCAGCTTGGCCAGTTCCTCCAAAATAAAGTTAGTCTGAAGCAGCAAATCTTAAAGACTTTTCTCATAAAGATAGGGATTAGACATAAGTCAAGCTTGCTTTGCTTTTTCCAAGAGAACGGACTCCAAGAGCAGCTTAAAGGTCTCATCGTTTAGTTTAACTTCACTTTTATTTTTTCATTTTCTGCTTCAAAATACCATACAGATTGTCTGAGTAGTTTTGCTCATCTTTTGTTTTTTTGGGATTTTTGGACAGATTTTTTTTTTTCATGTTCTAGTGTTTGTGGATCGCTCATTTTTTCATCATTGTCTTTACCATTTTTTCGTACATTTTTTTTTTTTACCTCCCGACTCCTTTAGATTTTTAACCTGATGAAGTTTGACAGCTACACGCGATTCCTCAAGTCTCGGCTGTACCAGGAGTGCATGCTGGCGGAGGTGGAGGGCAGACCACTTCCTGACCCCTACCACATCCCCAGCAGCCCAACGTCAAAGCACAGCACCACCGGCTCCGACCGCTCCAACCTCTCCACTCCCAAAAAGGTGAGCCAGCAGAAATCATTGTGTCTTGATTTCAATGGAAAAAGAACATGCATTTTCGGATTAAGTGAAATTATGAGTGAAAACAACTTAAGTTTGCAGCTTTAAATAACATGAAATCGTGTCCACATTTGTTTGTGTCCCTGTCTGTTCCTCCTCTCATTGTTTCTTACAGGAGGACAAGAAAACCAAATCAGGGCGGTCTTTGAACGAAGACAGTCGGGATGACTCAGGAGACCGGAGGAAGGGCATGTTTTTTTCGTGGTCCCGAAACAGGAGCTTTGGCAAAGGCCCCAAAAAGCGAGAGCTGGCTGATTTTAATTACAGTCAGTCCATTTTCCCTTCTTCATTTCATAACTTTCTTCTCTGCTGGAGAGTTTGTTTGCTGATAAAGTGATCATGCATTGCAAATTAGAAAATTTAGTAACATTTGTTAAGACGCTGGATTGATGACAGATAAATGATCTGTTATGTTTTTGTATTTTTTCTGTTCCTAAAAACAACCAATTTGCATCTGTGGTGTTATCAGACGTTATCTGCTCAAACATTTAATTTGAATCTAGTCAGGAGGCACTCTTACATTCAGCAGTTTACTGAATGTAATTTTATTTTATTTATTTTATTTAATTTCAATTTTATTTGCTTATTTGTTTATTTTCAGGCACCAACGGTCGTCGGGAGTCCCAGGGCTCGCTGTCCTCAGGAGCGAGTCTGGAACTGGGGACGTCAGGTTCAGGGAAGAATGAGGTCAGTCTGATGGGAGTCATCTTGATCTAATCAGTTTGATAATAATTGGTTCATGGAAACTTCTTTTTGCATGGAGCAGCTTTAATGTCAGTGTTCCCTTTAAAAGGAACACTTGATGGCAGATTTTTGACCTATTGATTCAGATTTCAACAGATTCTAATTTCTAGTGAGGAAGTGGGAAGTATACTTTTTGAGTTTTTCTGCATGACCTGCATTACATTTTTATACTAGTAGCATAGGTGACACCACACAGTCACTGTAGAACATGGTTTTCTTGACATTTTAAAGCAAAGACAAAATGATTAGAAAGTTTAGCTCCTTGTTTTAGCCTTTAGCTCATTTAACATTACTAGCATTATAAAACCGTTGTATTTCAGATGGTCTGCAGATCCTTAATTCGGAAATTTCCTGAAGGCTGCCAGTGTTCCTAAATCTAGCAAGATCCGTGACAAAGGAAAGTGCATAAGATTGAGAGCTCATACTGTATTCATATCAGCCTTCCTGTTATCTTCTCAAAATCTTGCACTCTCTAACTCATTTGCATTTTGAGTAAAATGCAGACATGTTCGCACATGAAAGTACTTTTTAGATGGCTTCTCGTGTCTCTCTGTTTCACCTGACTTCATTATGAATGCTCTGCTGATGCTAAGAAATACATAATTCTGAGTTCTTTTTACTCAATAAGAACTTCCCACATGTAAATGGCTTTTAGTGCATTCTCTGAATAGTAAAAGTTTCTGTAGGTCAAACTATAAATCAGGCAGTTGTGGTCTGGCGAACTATCGGTGCATCTTTATTTTTGCCACTTCAGAGATTTTTTCATGTTTCTGTAACATTTTGATACAAAATTTTCTTCTGTGGCCTTTTGTGCAGCAGATGGTAATAGAGAAGTGGCAGGATGCATCTGAAGCGAACAGAACACACCCTCACCCAATGTGATTGCTGTTGCACAACGCCTTTTGTGAGGCTTCCATCAGCGAGCATAAACTCACTGTTCTCCACATTATGTTACTGTTTTCCCATTCTCCGTTCTTTGCCTTCATCAAATTGTATACTGAACAGCATTAAACAGTTGTGTAACGGGGCGGTTCTGCTCCTGGTACTGTCTGGCTGACAGCAGAGGTTCTGTATGACTCTGCACTGTGGGGAACTGGCCTTCTCGGTTCCTCTCACTGTCCAGTTTGTGCATCCTTAGTTTCTTTCTTCACCTTTTGTGTTTGTGTCTTTAAACAAAGACAGAAGGTGTGATTAAAGATGTCAGAAGATGATTTTGTTGATGACAATTAACTGTTTATATTTAGTTTGATTTGAACATATTCACTGTAAATGTTTTCATCTCCTGTTGGTGCTTGTGCTTTCTATAGGTTTATCTGGTTATTTCTTTTTGTGACGTTAGATGTTAATTGATTTCTACTCCAATCTCCACCTTAGGAGAGATTGGACCTATTCATAATCTATTCAGAGGTTATCTTAAGTAGAAAGCAATCGTGAACAGCACACACTGCTATAATCTTGTTACAGTTTTTCTCTTCATCAGGACCACTTTTGATGTCCTTAAAATATGTAGTCAAATTTAATTTCTGAGTCACAAGCAGGAGGTTAGGAAGATGATGAAGCACAAATGACCCAAATAAGATCAACTTTCTTTCCTTTTCTAGCATGATACTTCCCGTGGCGCAGTATCAGAACGAGGAGGAAGCAGCGCCCCCTTGAGGCAATGTAACATTAGCTTGCCAGACGGCTCATGTTGCCCGGTGCCTCTTCGGCCCGGCATGTCCATCAGAGACCTGTTGCAGGGCCTTTGTGACAAACTCTGCATCAACCTGGCAGCTATAGACCTTTTCCTTGTCGGAGGAGAGAAGGTAAATCTCAGTGTGTGTTTGAGCTTTTTTTTTTTTTTAATCATGAATAGATTTGAGTTGGTATCCTCCAGCTGTACTTCTCTGTATTTTATTCATATAAATAACTAATTAGTGATTTTCTTTGCTTTTTTATTTAATTTTTATTATTCTGACACAGATTTATATCATAGGATTGAGCAGATACCTTAATATATGTATATTTTCTGTCATTTTTTTCCTCAGCCTCTTGTTTTGGACCAAGACTGTATGACCCTGAGCTCTCGAGACCTGAGATTAGAAAAGCGCACTCTGTTCAGGTATAAAACCTGTCAACAGCAGAGATGAACATGGGACTCCAGATCCTGGCTCACACAAAAATATGATTTATTGTCTTTGTATTCCTCCTCCAGGCTTGACTTGGTCCCCATCAACCGCTCTGTGGGTCTGAAGGCTAAGCCAACTAAACCAGTGACTGAGGTCTTGAGGCCTGTTGTGGCCAAATATGGGCTGCACCTCTCTGACTTAGTGGCACGTATAGTAAGTACAGTATTTTTCTAGGCTGAAGGCAGATCTTTCAACACCTGTTCAATTTATGCACATCTTCTAAAATGATAAATACAAACCTCAGTCTGTTTGATTGAGATTTTTTAGAATTTATTTCTGTTTAACTGCCCTTTAATCTAATAACATTAAAAAGCTCCAGTGAATTCCTGTGAGCGGTGAAGGTTCAGTGTTCTGTGGAGGTTTCAGAGGTTTGTTGGAGAATATTAATGAACAAACAGCATCATGGAGACCAAGTAAGACTCCAGACAGGTCAGGGAGAGCAATGGCCTACAAAACATGGCCATCCAACAAAGCTGGTGTGCTGGGCAGTGAGTGGATCATTCAGAAAAGTAGCCAAGAGACCAATTATAAATCTAGAGGAAATGTAGAGATTCACAAATCGGGAGTGGAAGAATCTGTTGAGAGAATCCTCCATAAATCTGACCTTTATAGAAGATTTCTTATTGCTTGCAACAAGACATGTAGAAGAGATAAAAATGATGTGGCAGAATGTGGTTTGAGATTAACATTGAATTTTTGGCCTACATGCAAAACGCTGTGTGTCAGGCCACATCCTAAATACGCCATCCAGAGTTTTACCTTCACACAAGATAACACCAAACATACAGTCAGAGCTGCAGTGTACCAATACTAAACACAATAATTAATGTTCACAATAACTTTCTAAGCAATTCTACCTAACATTGGCTATTTTGCATTAAAACAAATGGGCAAGTCCAGCAATTTTGTGCTGGAATTGCATCAAAATTTGGTTCTGCAAACTCCCAAAGGATAATGACACATGCCAGCCTCACTTTTCAGTTTTTTAAATTGCCGATATGAAGCTCTTCTAAAATGTCTTTCTGTGATGCAGAGCGGCGAATCAGAACCTTTAGATCTCGGGCTTCCTATTTCCAACCTGGACGGTTTGCGAGTTGTGTTAGACATTGAAGAAAACGCCATGGGGAAAGGTGACAAAAATACAGACACCCATCATACACATTCTTCTTCTGTTTGCTGGTTTGTAATTGAATTTAAGTTTTGTTTCCTCACTCAGACAAAATCAAAGCAGCTCAGAGTCACCTTCCGGCTTCGACGAGCAGGAACCAGTCGGCAACAGTAAGCTCGCCTCCATCCTCTCGTTTCGAGTTTTCTTCTCATTCTTGAATGTTCTGTAACCCTCTGAATGTCTCCACTGCCTGGTTGATAATGTCACGCTCTACTAAGTGTCCCTCCTGCTGTCTTCAGTCACCCATGTCTGTTTGCTGTGTGTTAAACATGCTCACAGGTGTGTTTTGCTGTGGTGCAAAAAGAACTGCATCACTCTGTTCAGGTTCCCTAATGTTCTGTTAATGTGGTCTGCCTGTGGCCGGATGCATCATCAACTTTCCTCTCTGGTTTTTCCTTTTTTTTCCGTAACAACTCCAACTTTTGCTGGGTGCCGGGATCTTCAGCGATGTATCGTAGTGGTGGTGGAGGAGCTTTAGTTCGCAGTAGAGACTTTCTTTTCGCTGTCCTCATTATTCTCAGTAAATCCCAGGATCTGTTTCAAGAAACAGATCATTTCCCTTCACTTTTAGTTGCAGTAGTGCAGCTTTAAGTAGTGGATAGTTTGCCCCTCTGGTGATTTGCTCTGTGAGCTTTCACGTTGATGATGCCGAGCACACAAAGCGGCCGTTGTAGCTGTCTCAGTGGAACATCCCAGGACAGGCTTTCACTGAATTTATTTTCCATACACTGCCTGGCCAAAATGAAAGGCACCACCTTCGTTTAACTGAACCTATCGGTAAAATCCTTCATCTGGAAAAGGACTGCAGCGGCTAGTACGTTCAGTTAGCAGCAAGTGTTAAATGTTGGTGCAAGCCAAATCCACATCCTGAAAAATATGTTTTTCCACAATCAAAAACTCAAATTGCTCGTGTGCATCAAGTAAACAACAAACTTACAAGACTGCTGCAAACAGATTTGGATAAAGAACAAGCCAGTGCATTATTTAGAAACATGGATACATAGTGTTTAAATGCATGACTTAAAGAAGGAGATGTTCATCGAAACACCAGCGTTTAATATATATTTTATTTCCTATTTTTATCAAACTAGTTTCCTTTCTGTAGCTTCTTAAATCTGTGCTTCATGTGACTTTAGTTATGAAGAGCTTAAGGATACTGAACATAGCTAATTTTTAGTTTTCTGGAAACACTGGCAGGAAGACGTGATAGCAGTTTTGATAAGCCAAAGAAATCTGGACCTATGAGTTTCCAGCTGATCTTTGACAGTTTGGCCAGTCAAAATGAAAAAATGGCTGATTTCTGGTCAGCAGTCGATTTCTTGATGCATGTCTGCTTCGGAGTCAAACCAGTTCTTACAGATGCTCTGGAAGCTAAAACAATGCCACAGCAGATTCTCAACATCTAAACATCGCAAAAATAGAAAACTGTTTTTGGCCAGGTGGTGTCATTTCCACTGTCTCTGAAACACAGCAAGTCATATGTTTATTTCTTATAAACATTTCCGTGACATTCTCAAAAATCATCCCCAGCCAATTAAACTTGTGTCTCCCGCTCGCCGTCAAATTGTCAAAATTTATGACCCTCTTCATCATCAGCACCAGTGGTTCCCACCTGTTGTCATTTGCTTCCTCCAATACGTGAACCGCTGTGACACATCAGGGCTCTAATGCCCCACTCCGCTCTTCGTGTGGCCCCCAGGGGGACGACAGGCCAACAAGGAAAGGCGGTTCAGCCCACCCCCATGGGGAAAATGGCAAGGCTGGGCCCGGCCCCGGCACAAGCAGCCAGACCCTACCCAACCACTCTGTCTCTCTGCATAAGGCTCCGGGGAAAAGAAAGCAGAAAAAGATTAATATAGACGAAGCTGAAGGTAAAAACTGAACAACCTCCCTTGTCTGTTGTTTCTGTGGCTGTGTTCACACTAACCCTTCGGCCTGCCTGCAGGACTGCACAAACACCCAGTGCTTTAAAGCTAGCTACATGTAGCACGGTCCAGTCTTTGCTTGTACCAAATATAGCTCTGACTTGTCTAAAAGATTAATACTTATGCTGCATGTTTCTGCATTACAAAACCAAGTTTCTCAGATATTCTGGATGTGTACGATTAAGCGTGGGAACCTGTTCATGTATTTCTATGTTTTTTGTGTGCGCCGCTCTGTGCGTGCTGCAGAGTTCTTCGACCTCATATCCAAAGCTCAGAGCAACCGAGCCGACGACCAGCGAGGCCTGCTGAACAAGAGCGACCTTCAGCTGCCCGACTTTCTGCGCCTCACACCAACCAGCCCGACGACGCCTCCTCCCCGCAACCCCGAGCCCATCTGCTCCACCCCGAATTCCCGTAACACCAACAATGGCGGCTTCACCACCAGCAGCCACCGGGGCAACAAGGGAAATGGCAATCACAGGGGCGGCGTGGTCAGTGGCTCGTACCTGCTCAGTGCGAGCCATCAGTCGCAGAGCTTGGACTCAGCGCTGGGCGCAGAGTGTGGAGGTGGCAGAAAACCCAGACCCCCCCCTCCGTTTCCAGCCACCGTCTCCCCCATCCAGTCAAGCCGACCAGGCGGGCAGGGTCTCCTCCAGAACTCATCCAGAGGGGAATCGATGCAGATGCTGGAGGAGGACACCCTGTCAGATCTAACTCTTGTGGGAGAAGGAGATATTAACAGCCCCAGCCTCAACTACATCACTCCCTCCTCCCTGTCGAGTAAACCCCTCCCCCAGCCTCAACGCCAAGCGCAGGACGGTCAGCCTTGCTCAGGTACCTCGCCGGTGTGAACTCTTAAGACTGCTGAACCTGCACCGCTCTCTTCACCTGACTGTTAGTGGGACCGGTGACCCACTAGAGTCAGTCTGACGTTACTTCATTCTGCCACTATTCAGACGTGGCAGAAAATGCATCTGAATCTCCTCCTTCCCTGCCACTTTTAGATGCTACTTAGAAGTTTTATTCCAGAACTGTCTAAAAATACACACAACTAATGTAGAAGATCAGAGTGAAGAGCTTAATTGCAAACAGTAGAGATTAGATTTTATTTAGACAGCAGTGGATCTGATAACATGTGAGGTGTTCATAGGCCTGTCACAATAACGCATTTTGTTTGGACGATAAATTGTCCAAGATATTATTGTGATAAACAATAACGTTGTTGTCTAGATGCAACTAATTTAATGATACAGGCATAGTAATTCAACTTTGCCTTCTTAAAGAGTAATAAATGTTTTGTTTTTTTTTTTATGGAACACTTCACACTGGAACTGGAAGTTATTTTTAATACTCAACATAAAACACAACAATTTAAAACAATAAAAAAATTTGGTAAAAATCTCAAACAACTGAAACCATAAATGCAATGGATTATGAAAACTGTCCTTCAAGAAGCGCAAATCATCCGAATGGAAATTATTGAGCTCATTTAATTTATGATAATAATTGCTGATTGCGACAGGCTTAGGTGTGCACTACTTTGGGGCCAGCAATCTTTTTTTAGAACAGTAAAATGTGTCAAAAATACAAAGAGAGGAAAATGGATGCATTGAGCATGGACAAATTGTTCCCCTTGGATTTTCTTGTGTGGTGTGTATCTGTGTGGACTTTTCGACAGACTTGCTGTGGATTATGTTTGCTTTGAGACATAAGACTGAGGGTGAGGTTGGTAGAAACCTGTGCCAAACTCACTCCTCCAGTCCCTAAATGTACAGAATCTTAACAATGCACTTTAGCCAATTGTAAACAAGACGTTATTTGTCAGAGTGTAATTTCTTTTCCCGTTACTTTTCTTTACATTAACTTTTTATGTCTGTTTCATTCTACATGTGACTAAGCAGCCATAGTTTTAGAAAATAATTTCAGTCATAGAGATGCATTGATACAAATGTTGGGGCTAGTTTCCAATCCTCCGGTTTTTGTAAAACTTTGACCAGCTGATGTGATTGCATCCAATTCCAGATTCTCTTTAAAACTGAAACTGATAATGTTTTCCTCTACATTTCCTGCACAGAGCAGTCATTACCTGTTATATTGTGCATTGGAGACCACTGATACATTGCTCTTAATGTATGTCGCTAATATGGCTAATGTATATCTCTGTTAGTATATGTTGTTGATAGAGACCGTCATCTCTATGAGAGATTGTAAAATCGGGTTTTGCTATCTTTAAAACAAAAAACTATTTCAGCATTAGCATTAGCATGGCTAGCATTGTTAAAATCCCAATCTTCAAGTTCATTTCCTAGACTAGTTCTAGGAAATGAGCTAGTCTAGTAGACTTAGTATCTTAAGTCTCTATTTTACAAAATAACCTGTATTATAAGTTCCAACGAACACAACAGAGTAACTTCGCTTTAGCCAAAAACATTCTTTGAAAAAAAAAATGTAAAAATGCCTTCCTAAATGTGTTTTCCTCGAGTTTTGACACTGAAACTCAAAATGGCAAACCTTGAGTCTTCTACACTCGGTAGCAACTTGCACATTATGGAGAGTAAATATCACTGAAACATGGTAGCACTCATACATCATTAAGATGACTGATTGGAACAAGATTTTATTTTTGATTTTCCAGCTGATCAAACCAAAACTTGATTCTGGTCACCAACCTCTGGCTCGGTGCATCTCTACTCAGTAGCCACTGAAAAGCTCTAAGAAAATACTGCAGTTTTTGACTGCATGGCTGGTTGGTCTGACTCAATAAAGACAGAGGCTTCACTGCCTTTATAGGCAGTACATGCATTTTTAAACCCATTTCCATCGTTGTTCTCTTACCTCAGGCATTTCGACTGTATCGCAAGTGCTTATGTGTGCAATCTTGCTCATTGATCATATGATTGTTAATAATGTGCACTGGCTGTAAACAAGCAGCTTTTTTTTCTTATTGATCGACCATCTCTCTTTCAGATTAGAAAGCTTTGAGCTGTGTTTTCTGCAAGCTTCTATCTGGACTCATTTCATATGAATTTTTAACTTCACTGTATAAATCCATTAATTTATGCATCATGTTGTTTTCGTTGTTGCCACCAGTTAAAAGTGTTAATTTGTATATAGTGCCCTGGAAACCACCATGTTGCATTCTTTAAAGGTGCCGCAGCCATTCTGTCTCATTAGGAATCGGTTCCGCCGAGTTGACATTGCGCTCTGTGAATAGTTCAAATAAATGTTTCCCACGTTTTACTCTCTTGTTTCCTCATGTGACCAACTTTCTGTCCTTTTCTAGTTTTCAGGAATATCAGCTTTGTTCCAATTTTCCTTTTAAGCTACCAAAATAAAACTAGATGGTAAGCAGGGGGTGATTTATAGTTTTAAATCATAATTAATTTGTTCATTCAAAAAAATATATTTGAATTTTTTTCATTGATTTGCTACAAAAGCTCAAGTCACTCAAAACAAAAAGCGAGTTTTCCCATTGTATTTATTTCTCAGTTAAAGGGTAAAATTACACACAGGCCTTTTTCGTCTGGTGCGCCTAATTAAAATTATTTTTCATTTTGAAGGAAGTTTGCTGTGTTTAAATCTTGCCATTTAGTTTGGCGCTCCCGACTGTTGGAGTCAAACCCAAAGAAAGATTTGATGAGCTGCCTGCAGGGAGATTGTTGCAGCTGCAGTACCTGGAGAGAGCCCACACCTCCACATGGGAAACGTGCAGGAAGATCCCAGGCTGGGACCTTCTTGCTTCAAGGCAGCAGTACCACCACTGTTTAGCTGTGCATGGCCCTAAACATTATTTCATCAATTTAAAAACTCATTACAGGTTCTTGAGTTTAAATTCTTCACCAATCTCTGACCGCTAACCGTTTCTCTCTTTGATATTCCTCTCCTGTCTTTCTAGCCTCTTGTGTGTTTGTCTGCAGAACTGGAGTTTTGTTTTTCAGCTACAAAAGCTTTTGAGGACCGGCTCATTAGCTATGCAGGGCTTCCTCTCTGCTCAGTGTCTGGTTTAGCGACAGTTGTCATGCCCGGGTCTCTGGTCGTCAGCGAACAAACATTAAGTTCCCACCACATAGATGCTCGAGGCCACGGAAGGAGACCGTCCACGTCTGCGTTCATCGCTCGCATCACACGACGTCCTGATTCTGCTGCTTTTTCCTCTGTGTATAATTTCTCATTGTTGATCGTTTTTTTTGTTTCCCTTAAGGACTAACATGTGACAACTGACTTTATTTAACCGGTCCTGAAAATTGAGCAGACCAGGCACATGGAAATTTGTTTATGAAATAAATCAGGTTAGCATTTAAAGGTGAATGTACTGGAAGCTCCTAGCAGAACATTTTGTACAAATACCACTGACCTTATTGGTTTCCAGCTAATTCATTTGCAAATCAAAACACTTTGTATTTTATGTCCTGTGAGTATGATTCTTCCACTTATTGAACAGTTTCTGCACTGGTTTCACTATAAATAAATGGGATAACCCTGAGACATAGTCATATGAAAAAAATGTAATCCTATAAAATATTTTATTCTTCAGGTGTTCAGACGCCAATCTCTAATTTTGGTTTATGTCTGGAAAATACAGACTGTAACCACAAACAACATAAATTAAGATTGTTTTACTCATTAAATGAAAGATTTCAACAAAAAATGTATTTTATAGTCACTATAGATAAAAGTTAGGACATCTAATCCCCTTCAAAGGGTAGAGATTAGTATTTAGAGCCAGTTCACCCCATTTGGCTGAAGTAGCCTATATCACAACGTCCCACTTCAGTGGGATGCTGTGATTTACTACAGATATCACTGCTGAATCTACAATACATTGGAGAAATATTCCCATAAAACACCCCAAATTAAGTTATTACATTAAAACAGGGTTCTATATCATAAATTTAGGTCTTTTTCTTTTACACCTTAATCAAACTTTTCCAATTCAGTGGCCTTTTGCCATGCATTACATTGTAAACTTTAAAAGGAATGTTTTTGTTGTCTTTAGTTCTCAGTTTAAGTTACAGTGATGATGATGATGATGATGGTGGTGGAAGTTGTAAAACTTAAAGGAAATTTTGCAAAACACAACAAAAATTGAGGAAAAAAAAGAGTTTATGAAGCTTCCCTCTATCAGCCAGCAGATGGCAGCAATCTGCACTAAGATGAACACTAACAAGCTCCATCTCACTGTCTGTCCCTTGATAGTGGAGCCAAGAACCAGCATGGGAGTATCTGTCATGTCCAATTAGTTCCTTGCTGCCTTCCAGCTCTCTGTTTGTGGTCTGGTTGCGTTTATATGTGTGTGTACCTGAGTTTTACTGTGTCCCTGGTGTGTTGACACTTGGCTACAGGCTTGATATTTATGGACATATTTGACCTTAATATCTCACTTAAAGATCCGGTGACCTGTGTGTTTCTCTGCGATGTTTGCTCGTGTTTGCAGTGCCCCCTCGCTTCCCTTTTTGTGTGTGTTTAAAGCGTCCTCTTCATCCTCAGGTAAAGACAGAGCAGGGCGGAGAGGGAGGGAGAAGGCTGGTGGAGGTTGGTCGAAAACGACAAGCGGACGGACAGCGTCTTTGAACCCCATCTCTTCCTCCCCGCCTTCGCCTCCTCCACGCCCCCCTCTTCGCTCTCGTCGCAAATCCAAGTCGCCGTCGTCGCGCCACAGTCGCCCGGCCCCGAAGCATGCCTTGGACGTGGACAAAATTGGAGGCGGCTCGAAGTCGGAGGACCTCAGGAAAACTCGGAACGGGTCCCGAGACTTGCGGGGGCCGCACTTTTCAGAGCTGGACAGGAAGTGGGAGAGCGTTGCCCTGGAGCTGCAGTGTCGTGGCGGCAGGATGAGGTCAGCGGTGTACCAGACCTCAGACCTTCCCTCCATGGTGAAAGCCAAGAAACAGCTGGACCAGGGTCATAGCAGAGGGCAGATAGACCGCAGCAAACTGAAAGCAACTTTTGTCTAAAGACCCTGATGTTGGTCTGACTCTGACGACACTGATGGGCTGAGTCACTGACAGCTGATGTATTGCCTTGATTTAAAGCTGGAGCAGAGAGCAATAACAACCGTGCAGCTGGTTGCAGATTCCCCACTGAAAACTGAAAACGACAGGAAGAGATTAATCAAAACCTCTGCTCCATGTCCGTATATGGTCAAACTTATTGCTCAAAGGTGGAAATGAATTTGAACCAAAACACAATTTTGTTTTTAACAAAACTTAATCAGACAACGACAGTATTAGCATGCGGTCATCTTTTTAGAAGATGACTGCCTTCAACTTGATATTACGAAGAGTTTATTTGGCAACTGGATGTGGATAAAGCTAAGATTGGTTTTTGAAATAAATGTAAAAATATGCAACAAAATTATTGACATCAACAGTAAAAATGATCATGGGGTTTTCAATCAAGTCACCAAGAGCTCATATAAGCGCCCCTGCACTGGAAAATGCAGGGGCACTGCACTTTCCGGTTGTGTCACTTCCTAAATTACTTGTAAATCTTCTCACTTAAAATGTCTTACAACAGAAAAGAAATGCCTGTTCAAGTCTAGGGACATTTTCTCTAAAACATCACTTTCTAAAATATTTGTAATTCTGCATTGGGGTTTTTTTTTCACACCTATAATCAACAAACATTTATTCTGTCTTAACAAAAATAATTTTTAGAGAATATTTTGCTGAGGGACCCAAAGGTCATATATGAGATGAGACATTCTCAGTGATCTCACTTCACCACACGTTTCTTTTCTCTTGGCCAAGAGCTGTGGAAGGAACAATGATTCGCAAGCGAGGTTAGCAATGATTCGCAAGCGAGGTTAGCTATGTTCTTTTATTTTCATCACTTGATGAATAAATGCGAAATGCAGAAGCGGACGGTCAAATGAATGGTTATTTTAATAAAACATTCCACTAAATGTTCGAGCGATTTACCTGGTTATCTCTGTATCTCCTGCCAGCTTTTCACAAGTTAAGCTTCATTCACACAGACAGAGCCGAGGCTGAGAAGATCAGCACTGAGCCGACACCAATCCCCGTCTGACACCCGGCTGAGAAAATGTTGCGGGAGTTAAGTGAATGGTGCGCAAGTTATGTGCTTTTAATCAAATTAGCTACATTGCAGACAATAAGCACTTGAAGCGGGTTGACAACTGTACTAAGTTGGCAGTGTGCTGGTGGCTCCCCCCGCCCAGGGTCTTAGTGAGAGGGAGGGAAAGTGTCTGCTGTCTGGACCCCGGGCTGTAAAGGCTATTTTGAAAAGTTGCCCCTTCTCTTTCTCACTCTCTCTTGCACACACACACACACACACACACACACACACACACACACACACACACACACAGCTGCTAGAAACCATGACAGAAGATGACGGAGACGGTTGTCGCAGAGGGACAAGTCAAGTTTAGAGATGGAAAAAAGGTGAATTCGACAGCTTTTCTTATCTTTTTGTTTTGAAATATGCTCTCCTTCCTCCCTGCCCACCAGAGGACAATGTTGTGTGATTTATCGTGTCTTAACAAACTTCTTCACAGTGGAAGACTCGCTGGGTTGTTCTCCAGAAGCCCTCCCCGGTCGCAGGTAGGAGTTAACGCCTTCTATTTATGCATCACAAACACAGATCTTCTCGTCTGCTTCACGCAGCACCGATCTCAAAAATGTTCTGCCGTTAAATTAAGCACAACTTGCCAGTTGTCTGCTGGCTGCATGCCGCAGGGTTTAACACACCAGGATGTTGTTCAAGCAAAGTCTGAATAAGAAAATTCACTTCCAGTTTCATATAAAATGTTTCCCTCAGTGATGGATTCAGATATTAAATGACAGCTGGCTTTGAAGTGTTGCTAAAAGACTTGTGATGAAAGTTGGGCAGTACTCTGCTGTAACTTGCATTCTTTTGAGTTGAGAATAATTTGAGGTGCTGCAAATGTTTCAGCACAGATACGCGTTGCACTGCCTGCGTCCTCGAAGAAACTGGCAGTGGGAATAATCTGAGCTCCTCTGCTTTGCTCTAAGTGTGCACTGAACCATGTGAGCTTACTTGCAGCTCAACTTTTATTTTCGGCACCGCAGGTGGATCGATTCGTTATTTTTGTGGGGTTTCTCATGACTGATGTTCAAAAAACTAGACATGGGGACATTGGGTTGCTCTCAACAAACCCAATTATCACACAGTAAATGCAAAAAATAATCTGTGTTTTCCTTAGATTGCTTGACTTTGATCGTCTGCAAGGAGAAGAAGAAAGGGAAAAGCAGCGGACACAAGGAGAGGCTGAATGTGACACTGGAGGTATGTTCAGCAGCAGATCATGGCTTTGCTCCATCTGATCCCTGGTCCAACATTTCATTCAGCTCTTTTTTAGTATTTTATGCACAGCATGTTTGCTGCCTCAAAAAACACGAGTTCAGTTGTCAGATTGAAGAAATATGAAGCGATTCCTCACAGATGGTTTGTAGCAAAAGAAGCAGGGCTAGGGTCACATTAACCCTAACAGAGCAGAAACATGAGGGAGGAGAAAAGTAATCCCACATAAATATATCAAATAAAGTTCTACCTAATGAAAGCAGAAAGTTACAGAGCCCTGTAGAAAAGTATTCACACCCTCAAATCTTAAAAAACAAACGACAACAAAAAAAAAGTCATGTCACAGACCGAACAACACAATGCAGTATTTTCATTTTTTTCTTTTGCAAATAAAGTGTTAGAAGGACAATTTGAATTAGGATTGGTTAAAACGTTGAAATGGACAGAAGACATTATTACATTTTAATGTTTGAATTGTGTTGCTAGCTGAAAGTAAGTTGTGCTCTTTCACACTTACTGCTAAATATTTCTAATAGATTTTTTTTCTGAACTGATTGGATATTCCATTTATTTCAGTGGGGTCCAAGGTGATCGCAAAATAATGAATATTGCATAAAATGTCGAATAACTCAATGCCATGAGCTACAGCTGGAATGTCCTAAAGGAGCAAAATGTGGGAAAAGTTGAATGGTTCAAAGAGCAGAAAATATGCAGCAGTGGGAAAAAAACGTGGAGAAACTGCAAAATTCAATTTATCGTGACGTCAAAAGATTCTTCAGCCTGCAAAACAAATACACATCAGAGGACGCTGTGTGTTGTCTGGTCGGACGTTTTAGTATCATTTTCTCCTTCTTTCAGGGCATTTGTGGTGTGGAGCCAGGAACCGGGTATGACGGCGTGCCCTACGCTCTGTCCATCCTCTGCCTGGCAAGAACCCTGATCCTGGGTTTCAAGAACAGAGACGCCCTGCTGACCTGGGATGCTCGGATCCGCTACAGCCTGGGTGAAGGTCAGTGGCTTGGCCTCGTGCCGAAAACACAGTCTTGCCGTGTTACTCTAGGAAATTAAGAACGTGTTGCTTTTAGGTTGAGAATGTGCAAAATTTTGAATTAAAGGAATTGAGAGAGAAAATCACATAAATTTGCAAATGTATCATATTTTGTTTCTTGTTGCACAGGAAAAAGATCACTCTCAAATGCTGTATAAAATGTAAAAAAAAAAAAAAAAAAAAAAACTAATAAAAGGGGATTGAATAGTCATTATTTACTGATGTACGCATGCAAAAATGGAAGAACAGCCAGTCAATAATTTATTGAGGGTAAAGCAGATACGTTTCAGGGAGAAAATGTGACGGATCCATGTGCAGATTTGTTTCACTGCTGTTTACTGTCAGGAAAGCCTCTCACGTGTTTTCCAGCTCCCCAGCAGTTTGAGTTTTGAAGCACAAATAAACCGCAAATGGACCAAGAGAAGCACATTTTGCCATCCATCGCCTTTGTTTGTAGATGCTGCTTGTGTGTCAGATTTATGAACATACCAGAAATGCATCAATACAAAGATTTCAGATGGAAATCTTCAGTGTAAAATAAAAAAAAATAAAAAATGTTTTTCATTGGGTTAAAAATTTTAATGTGTTGAAATTTCTGTAATTAATTAATCAAACTTAACATGTTAAAGTCCTGACCATTGTCAATGTGGCTTCTTGAACATTATATCAAGTTCTATACTTTAAGAACCTCCACAATCACCAGATAAAATCAGATCCTAGCAAGGTGTACCTAATAAAGGGCCTTTGAGAGTATGGATGCATTTGAGTGTGTGTGTGTCAAATGTAGGTTAACGTCTGCTCTTAAACAATCTGAAAACATCTCATAAAACAGATTCGTGCCATCTGCATAAACAGAACTGTGACAAATTGAGGCCAGTGGAGCCCAGAGACCTGCTGAATCATCAGCATCTCTTCTTTACATTCAAACTCTGGGATCTGTTTTTAGCTCCTGTTCTTTGTGATTAATGACTTCTGTTATCCAGCAGCCATTATGTCTTAATGAGAATAAAAACAGCTTAGGGTTGGGCTTTTCAATGTATAAATGCTCTTGTGTCTCCTCAGCTCACAGGTTCCTTGTCAGCGTGGAACCAGGCACCAAACTGGAAAGTGGGCCTGCCTCCCTTCATCTGTGCAACAACCTGTTGGTCCTCAGCAGAGGCCTGCCTCCGGTGGTGATTGGTCACTGGAAGCTGTCGGCGCTGCGTCGATACGGAGCCGTGCCGCGTGGCTTTGTGTTTGAGGGAGGGACTCGCTGTGGATGCTGTAAGTAAATACGTTTTATTGCTAATCTGTAGCGACTTTAAGGATGAGAGAGGCAAGTCAAATCAACTAGCAATGTAGGTTTAAAACCTGGTTACTGAGAGGAATTTGCTTGACTTAAATATGCAGCTTATCTTGTTTTTGTCTTGCTAAAACAACATAAGTTCTGTTTATGCTTGGATGAACCAAAACTAACTTAAAAACTTTGGTAAAATTTGTTAAAGACGACAGAGAAAAGAAAGCATGGTGAGCAAAAGTAGGATTGAAATCTCTTCCCTTAAGATTAACTGAGTAAGATTAAGCTCTACAGTTTTCAGATGCAGACTGATAACAACATTGTAGTAGTTAGAGCTCTGGCGATGGGACCCGTAAGGATGCAGGGAGGCCAAACACTTGGCAACATTCACAGATCTCAAAGTCCAGTAGCTGACTGTCTGTTAGTGTGTAAGGAACGTTTGTGCATTTGCCTTGGAAAAGACCAGAGAAATGACATTTTAAGACTCAAAAGTCTTTGAAAGAATAGTCACGTATTTTTCCTTCAAATCAACATGAACATTTTAACCATTTTGTTGTCTCTTGTAAAAGAGATCATTGAATGAAAAATTGCTGAATACTGTTGGAACTTGAACTAAAGCCTACTCATGTTGTGTGCTTAGGCGATGGGCAACGTTGGTCCTTGAGGAGATGTTTTAGATGTGTCAGTGATGGACTCATGTAAATACGGTGTGTTTCAAGCAGGGAGGCATCCCTGGTGGGAAACTGGCCCTATCTGGGTGAAGCTGAACAGAAACGATACCGTTTTTGTGGACTTCAGGCCTCAGCTGAAGCAGTGAAGTGACCTCTGTCGCCTTTGTTTGATGAGGTTGAAGATCAGTCTGTTGCTTTTCTGGTGACCCAAATCCATCTTTGTTGGCATTTATTGTTTCACTTTTCAAAGTTGTGCAGCATCTCCTGATAATCCAAGAGATTGTCCAACACACTGCTGGGATTTTATCTTTGTGACGCTACGGCTCCACTGTGTCAACCATCTGCAGACTTTTCTCATAGCTTCATTCCTTCTTAAAGATTGTTCTGTACACTTTTGTGCTTCATTTAGATCATCTCCCTCTGTATACAAAGCTTACCTAGTCGGCATTAAAGTGCAATGGTTCACATTTAATTTCAATTTGAAATGGCTGATTTGAAACCTTTGCACAGTACAAGGGCCTTTTTAGCAGCTGAAAAGACTTTTGCTTCTATTAATATGACACTTAAGCTCCATGGAAAAGAAAATGTCTAGAGCAGCTGATCACTTGGTTTTCTAGAAATTATGAGTGCTACACGTTTTCTGACTTGAGTTCAAAATGACAAACAACTGCATCCTGAGAAACCAATTAATGTTCTGTTCTTTTTCATGCATCTCAACATAAGAAAGTGATTTATTAAGATACAAACACCAAAAAAAGGGGTTTGCTCATTAAAGAAAAGAGGTCAACATAAATATGTATTCTAAAGAAAAACTCGACTCTCTTCTCCCCTAAAACTGGGTGTTTAGTTGAATAATCTTCAACACTTCTTCTTTCTCCTCCAGTCTCTGACATCATCTGAGGAAAGTTTGCCCGACTCCTCACGTTCAGCTGTGAAATGTTTGACGGGTTTCTTCGCACATTCAGTCTGCGTTAAATAATCAGTCCACAGCATCACCAAAATCCAGGCTTTGCCTCAATCCAGGACTTTCCATTCCTTAACTCTCGGCCACTCACTGGTGGATTTACTGGTATGTTTTGGGTCACACCATAGAGTCCACGAGCATTTTCCTCAAATACTCTCTGGTACCTTGTAGAAGTGTGGGTGGTTTCCATGATGGTGAGCAAACCAAACCACTGGGGTTTTTTTTAAATGTCAACCTTGTTTAGAAGTAAAACCCTAATATCAGAAGTTTTAGACTTACACACGTCTTTTTGTTTTTATGACATAGAAATTACTGAAGAATAATTTTCAGAATAAAAGCTCTATCTTGGGTAAATAGGTTGACATTCAGATATCTGAATAGCTCTCAGACCTGTGACACCAGTGCCGCCGATAGATTGTAAAACCAGTCATTTACTGCGGCCATTTTCGTAGCTCCACGTTACATGTCAGAAATGTATTTCCGAGCCCACCAAAGCCTGCTGCGGATGTTGTTTTTGTCAGGGTTCGAGAATCTTCTGAATGTCAAGCTGATGGTGGTCATGAATGTGAAGAATGTCAACCAGCTTTACGCATTTTAAATGAATGCACCACAGCTGAAGTTTCAGATTATTGAGTTTTACTTTTTATGGTTTCTTGATGAAATAGGGGTGTTTCTCTTCATTGTCGAATTTTTCTAGAGATTTAGAAAGCGTTTGCATTTCTGCAATGCCCGTCTTTTCCAGTGAGGGAGTTTAAGCGTGAGTGAATACGAGAATAACCATGAGGTTTTCAGGCTCTGGTTACAATGTTCTCATGAGAGGCATCTATAAATACCGGTGCCGGACTCTCAGCCAATCACAAACAGCTTTGTGGTCGCATGTGTGCCCGCAGAGTCCTTCTTCTTTTCATCAGAATATTACCCAGCAGACACAGGGGCTGAGGTCCTCTTGCCATGGCGGCAGAAGTGGAGAAGGACAGAAGAAGAAATGTGTCAGTCGGGTCTGAAAGTGGCATTCCTTGCATGGTAGCTTCAAGGTGGGGTGTCAGTTGACATTTTGCTTTGCATATCTTCAATAATGGCGTCACGTTCCGAAAGGAATAAGCTGCTCGGGTCCGAAATGACTTTCTGTAAACGCCAAATACCAAATTTGCATAGCAAGACATAAGTCCTTGTTTTGCGCTTTGCAAATCATAAAAAATTAACAGAGTGTACACGGTGCTTCTGTACAACCAATTCATCACATTTAGTCTGGGAGCGCGAGCAGAAAATCAGTTTTCTCAACTTTGCCTTAATGATCATGTAATTTATTTGATAAATCAGTGTATTCTGGTGCAGTTTCGCTTTGTTTACACACCAGTGATCCAAAAAGTAACAACTAGCCTGACTTAAAGTTCTTTATTATTGAACATTTTATTTCACAGCTGTTTAATTTCCCTTGAGGCCTCATTTGCTCCAACAAAGTAAGCAAGTCTCTGTGTCATGGCTGTACTTTGAAAAAAAAAAAATATATATATATATAATAATTGCCCCTCTGTTCCTCCATCAGAGATGAAGACATGATGGTGATGTCATGTTGGCATCCAACATGACATCACCATCACTTGTGTTGCTAGGGAGACATCCAAACACACAAAACCTTTCTGACAGCGATTGAGCCGGCCCTGTGGGACAGAAGGCCGCCATGTTGCAAATTAACAAACACAGGAGTTCAGGGTCATAATGTAAGTTCACCTGTCTGGTAGTGCAATTGTATGCAAACACTCTTCAGAGTAGAAGACAATCAGAAATATCCAGGCAGGTCAGCCAGGGGCTGTCATAATGTAACCAAGAAAAGTAAAATAAACATCCTTTTTGGCGGGACTTTTAGTTTAATCCGGTGAAATTTCTGATTTCCTTTGGAATTAACAGCGAAAGTGTTTTTGGGATGTGCATCATAATAATTCATGAAAGTTTCGTTTCAGTTTATGTAGCCACATTTTGCAACAGGTGTCATTTAGGTGGAAGTGGGATTTCTTTACTTTGAGAATGGGTCGACAATAAAATGGTGGATGGCTCCAAATGACCAACAAAACCATGACCTCATCAGAAGAAACTCTGGCAAATTAGCACGAGACCAGGACTAAATTTGGAAAAAAAATCTAACAAATATTGCCACAAAAAGGCATAATCACATTATATTACAGATATTTTATTAATAGGTAATACTGTAAATCAAATTAACGGTAGGGCTTTTGTTTTAAAATTTGTATCCTCAGCATCACCTAAACTCCTCTGGGAAGTTTTCAAGTTCTTCTGTGACGACCCGATGAAAGTTCTCTGGGTTATGGGGTCCAAATGTGCTCGTTTCAACCCTGTAGCGCGTAAACGCTTTTAGCGCACACATGCTGACCCAGTAATAAACAATCATCCGCAGAATCTGGACAGCCATCCAGCTCCTTGCCCCAGATAAAAGCCATTCAATGCTTCCACACAAAGTTGGCAGCACTTTGTGTGTCCCTCAGCAGGTGTAAACACACATGCCTCCTCCGGTCGTACGTTGTTGCACGTGTGAGATTGTTTCTCCCGTGTGTCGTATATTTAGCGTCATTTAGACGGTATCTGCAAGTTAAGTCCAGCTAAGCCCGGCTCTTGCCAGCTTATATTAAAGTGTGAGTGACCCACAAAGATTGTAATGTCTGACTGTCCACCTGGCGCCAGCTTGAGTGGGGAAGCAACGCTGAACACAAACCCGACTTTAATAGATCCTGGATGCTAATTAATTCATGCTAAATTGCAGGAGATGGATGTTAAAGCATCTGTGGATGAGAAGAGATGCAACTTGAATGCATTCATGAAAATTTAAGTGACCTTTTTTTAGGTGCCTGGCAAGGATTTTAGTTTTGCATTCCAACACTTTTCAGAGAGAAACATTTTATTTTCACTCCACTGTGCTGACTGCAAAAAGCAGAAAATGCAAAAAAAAAAAAACAAAAACATAAAGCTTCTGATGATTCTTGAAAAGTGTTTTAAAGCTCTGGCTTTCTCGCGTCTAATAAAGATTTAAATTATTCAGGATCACAGAAAATGTGAAATATTCTTGGTTTAAAACCACATTTAAATCCTTTTTTTTACTTTGAGTGCACAAGTATTTTGTTGATCCTGATAAATCCTGATTTTGAGCAAAGCAACACATTATTTCTAAATTAAAGACACCACGCTGCCTTAATGGTTGCTGTTTCTATCTCCCCCTGCAGCTGAAGCGACCTCCTGCCATCTGCACGCAGTAATTTACCGTTTGTAGTTTCCATGGTTTTAATGGTGGTATCATGACCGTGATATTATTTTTATTGTTTACATTTCAAAGCGACAAGGAGAGGCAACCAAAGCAACAAACTGGTTCCAATAAAGTTTTCTCAAAACGTGAAGCACAACACTCATAAAAGGAAATCACAAGAGCATCCTACATATTTTACGTTTGCAGCAGCCGATCACTGTTGGAGATGATGTTTGCTCTCATATAAAACATTTCATAAAACGGCTCAAGAAACTCTCCCGCCCTACTGATGCGTGGTTTTCTGAATGTTGCTCTGGTGCTTGAGACACAAGTGGCCTGTGCTTGGACTGTGTGGTATCTGTGTCTCTCAGTTTCATGTTGTTCTTTCCCCTCAAGCCGAGGCTGCAACTTGTTACATGGTCTCCCAGCAGGAAGTGTTGGGAACCAATAAAGCTATTTGTGGGGGGTGAGGAGAAGTCTGTCCTTCTCAGTTTCATGAATCTCACCAAAACAGCACAAATGGGACAGACGGTAAAGGGTGAATGCTCACTCCGTCCATTAACATCGGCTTCACGTCAACGAGGCTTATTCCAAACAGAAGAAAATTGTTTATCTGATTTAGGAAACAGCCTGTCTGAACAGCATTGATGACGCCTCCAGAGGAAATGTCACCATCCATATTTGATGCTCACTGTTTTTTAAAGAGTGAATAAGCTATTAAAAGGATGTTTATTGTCAAAAACAGTTGTTAAAATAACTTGTATTCTTTCAAAAAACAATGCAAAGGCTAATTATGATTTGCTATTGTTTATATATTTAACGGCTCCAACCAGTTCCCACGTCAAGGAGTCAGATAAATAAATATATTAGTTCTGCTAAGACTTACTGTTATATCTTGAATGTTGACATAAAATTAACTGTTTTAAAAAATATTCTAAAAGTTCAAGTAAATAATTCAAGGATAATTCTCATGTTCACACTGACTGCGGCTTCGTTGGCTTTTGGAGTGGAATGGGCAAAATGCTAAGTCCTCCCACTCAATGTGCTTCTTACTTGTAGCTTCCCCTCCATTGTAGGCTGCATGGCTTTAAAGAAGGAAATCTGCTGGGTGCCACAGATATTACGCACAGCGCCCTCCACATTTATTGGGACCCTCGGTAAAGATGAAAAGCCATGAAGCAGATTCATCTTTTGTTGCAGAAGCAAAACCTCAGAATAAAAGCTCCGCAGAGGGAGAAAACTATACAGCCTGATGAAATATTTGCACCTACAAACTTGGCTCTGTACCTGAATGGTGGCACAGATGGATTCTGGAATCCATCTGACATGAAGAAACCAAGAGAACAACAGAAACATCAGGCTGCTGGTCACTAATCACGAAACGACACAAATTCAAAGTAGTTCAGAACCGCGGGCAGTGAGGCGTGGTGACAATAAAGCACGTTTCTCTTAGCCACTCGTCAAAATAGGAAAGACAAGAAAACGTGCCGTTCAAGTAAGTCAGATATTTGATGTTCTTCGTAATTCAGAAAATGGGTGGAAGACGGCAGCCTCTGAACTAAAGCTCGTCTTCAGCTGAAACTTAGACAAGTGACACAAAAAGCTCTTCCCATCCTGGTTAGAAAAATTACCAAACTTCCTGATCAATATGAGATTATTCTACAGTTAAAAAAAATCCTGATTTATTTGAAGGGTTTTTATCAATAAGCGTGGAGGCCATAGACAACAATAGACCTCACAGAAAAAACATCAAACTTTAACGTTGTTTCAGGTTCATGTTGTTGGCATTAATTCTGTGTTTCTTTGTGCGTTTTCTTTTCGTCTTTTGAAGACCATTTTATGTCTTCCTCACTTGGTGTATTTGTGAGAATAAATCTGTAACCTTGTTGGACGAAAGAGCAGAAAACAGACTTTCCCACTGAATACACCATTTTTTTTCCTTCTTTCAGACGTCTTATGACGCTTTGGTTTAAAATGTCTCGATGACATTACCTAAAAATCACTCAGAGTTGGAGCATTGTGTATTAACAAAAGCTATGGTAATCAGATGACAGCTTCTTCATAGAGAGTCATTCCTGGATTGTCTGCTTGGCATTTTCTACGTTTAATTTCTTTCAGGATTCATGTGATTGTCTCAGGGTGTCGCTTTATAGATGCGTCTCTTTCATCACAGCTCAAACTGCGTGTTACTCTAAATCACTGAGCCTTTTGCTCACGCCGAGCAGATTCAACGTCTCAATAAACCAAACAACTAATGAATCAGATACACTTTCGCCGCATTAAAGCCGAGCGACGATTCAAGTGAGAAACTCAGATATTGAACTATGAAGTTTGAAAACATATTTCGGTCGGCTTTGATGCGATTTCAATCGAACGTTGCTGACGTTGCAGCAGCACCACTGAAGCATGACTGAGACGTGATTTAAAACAAAAACGATTCCCATCTGAGATTCCTTTTTCCATTATAAGCAGCTTTACAAGAACAATGTTTTATGTATATATATTTATCTTTAACTGATCTACAGAGAAAGAGCTGACTCTGTGACTCACTCTCTGGTTTCTCTGATGAACTATTTCCACGCGTCATGATTTTTATTTTACTTTTGCTCTGTTTATTGTTGGTTTTTGTTGCAGTTTTCCCAGTCAGTTTGTGCTGTGTGGGCCTCAGCAGACAGCCTGTGAGCTCAACCTTTCTGAGGAAGGGTTGTTGCTGGCTCAAAACACAAACCATCCTTCACAAAACCTCCTTTGTACTCATCATGTGTACCTCTACCTCTGTGTCCCAGGGGCCGGTGTTTTCTTCCTGTCTTGCTCAGAAGGAGAGCAGATCAGTTTCTTATTTGACTGCATCGTCAGAGGAATCGCCCCCAGCCGAGCCTTGCACGGCGTGTCGACAAACCAGCCAGGTGAGCACGAAATGATCTCCTACACAGGTAAAACACAAGTTACTAAGGATGAAAATAAAGTGGTCCAAAATTTACGAGTAAATCCTTGCAGCTGCTGTGATAAGACATTTCTGGAAAGAATTGTCAGCAAGAAATCTCAAAATTTGGTTCTTCCACATTTAATTCATTGTACAATTATATAGAGAATTAAGCAAATCTGTTATGGGGAAGTTGTAGACAGACACACAAACTCAAAAATGTTGCAGAAGAACGCACGGCCAATGCTGGCCCAACTGTGGATGAGGCCCTTAGAGGTCCTTCCTTTAGGAGCGCACTTCCAGGAAAACCCGTCATCATAATTATACATTTAGAAGAACCAAGCAAAATTAAAACAAACAAACAAACAAACAAAAGCTGTTCAAAAGCAACAACAGGAAAAAAAAACATCCCTCCAACTAATCACTAACAAATACAGTGTTAGTGCGAAAGTGTAAACAATAGGTCAGGAACAAGCAATGGAAGTGATTCAGTTTGTAATACATTTGGATTCTGGTGATAAAACTTCAAATTACATCACTATCACATTTGTGAACCTGTTCTGTGTATATTCTAGCAGCCTCAGGCCAGCACAGGGCCCTAAGTAGCTGCAAAATTTACTTACACTTTGGGCCGACTCTGTGCATGCGCTTAAACTATCTGCGTCTTCTTCTGTGGTAATCTTTCTTTGACCTTCGTCACTATTTTAGAGACAGAGAGTTATCCAGGATAACTCTGCCTCCTTTTCTGTTAGGAAATTAAATAAAGTACCCAGTTTTGTAATGTCACGGTTGGCCCTATATATGAATCAATATCAAGGTGCCATGATGTAAAATTGACTCAAAATGTGCTTCACAGTCTCAGACTGCACATTGTGAGACAAGATTACTGCAGCGTTATTTTTATTTATTTTATTTCTCCTCTGATTTTTTTCCCAGTTCAGTTATCAGCGTCTCATTAAACCAATCGATCAAATTTCACTTGCACGGCACCTGTAAACACCAAGGCATTTCAAAGTGCTTACATCATAAAAACACAAAATACAAAGTCACAGAACACACAGCCAACATCGAAACATTTTGCCGTCATTAAACTTGAGATTATTGATTAATGTTTCATAATTATGCTTCAATAGCAACATAATCTGAAACATGTAGCTAAATGCTGAAGGAAATCATTTTTTTTATTAACAAAAAAAAAAGGGAACAGGGAAACAAACACTTTCTCGCTAAAGACCTTCAGTTACTTCAGTGTGTGACCTCATGTGTCCTGTGACGGAGGTTTACTGCCTGTTCAGTTGCACTCATGTAACATTTGCGTCGAGGCGCCATGCAAGTGGAAACGCAACATGCCTCTACCCCAGCGTGTCAGCAAGGAGATGAAGGGGTTGTGTTTCTGTGCGTGCAATTAAAACATATTGCTGATTTCACAGGAGGGAGGCTCAGGAGCTGATTGACACACTGAGGAGCTCCGTGGTGACTCTAGCACGGATTTAGCACTATGTGTTACGACCCGCCGTCCTGAGTTTAAGCATTTTTCGTGTTTTTGGTGCTAAACTTGCTCTGAGCATCTTAATGGATGAGAAATAAACACACAGATGGTTCAATTTGCTCTCAAGGTCTCAGGAGGTATTAAGAGTTGTTTTGTTGTCACCCACAAAAACTAAATAGCAACAGAAGGAGGTGTTTTTTTTACTTCTAATATTTTTTTTTTCCTTTATTCAAGAGAAGACAAAAAGTACTGTTCTTATCTTTCAATCCAAAATGAGTGCTGACTGTGCTCCACGCATTTTAAAATGCATTTTATTCTGCTTGTCATAGATCAACACAGCATCAAACTGCTGCAGGTCGACATGCGTTTCTGCTGATTCGCTCACATCTAAGAACAACATAGTTTGGTTTTACGCAAATACATAATGCTTAATGCATGGTTTAATGCATTAAATGCTAAAATGCAAAATAGGTATTGAACATTGTGAAAGCAAAACCTTTTTTTTTCTTCAGCCAAACAACATGTAGACTTTGCAGGGTGGTTTGGAAACGTCCAGGTGCATCTCAAACTATTGGAAACGCCATTAATTTCTGAGAGTGAAACCATATTTACAGATTCAATGCACAACGAGTGAAAACGTTCAAATTGCCAGCATTCGCATGGCACTTTATCTAGCCTCAAGTATTTATTTAATCCTTATTTTTATTTTTGAAAAGTGCTACTGACAGAAAATGAAACTATGCAATTAACTATCTCGGCAATTTTGAATATTGTAAAAAAAAGTTGAGCAAACTTCCAAAGAGAGTAAATATTTTGCTCTAACCCTACATTTATTTCGGTGTTAACCCACCTTGAATATGTGTTCTCTGAATCCTACATCACACGGTGCTGAGAATAACCTATAATTAGCTTTCAGCAGCGAAGTTAGCAGATGTTACCTGACCCCGCGCATAGCGTAGTGAAGAAACCTGGCATCCGATCTGCGGCAGTAGCTGCCGTCCAGAGGCACAGATCCAGGCGGCTGCTGACACGTACGCTCTGTGACCTGCAGCAGCATGAGCTCACAGGCTCGCCTCAGCATGTGGGTGTGTATGGGATTAGTTGTGTAATTAGTTGGGTTTTACTTCAAGTTTTAGTCTAAATTAGATGGTTATTAGTTGGAACGGCTGGTAGACGTCATTTTCACACTCAGTGGACCAAATATTTTAAAAGAATGGTGTAATCAACACTGTAAATAACTCAACTTCAGGCTTAACTTTATTGAAGCACTTAATATCTTGGGGGGGAAAAAATTGATTCTCTCAAAGAAGGTGAAGCTACATGGTCTTGTGGAATCATAGTGATAAAGAGGTTGGGGTTAATGCCGTACAGCTGGAGTACAAAGTCAGGGAATATTTCTTCACATTTACTATTTGTGGTCACATACTGTTCTAATACAGTCTTGATTTCACAGGAGGGAGGCTTAAATTTTAATTAAATTAGAATTCTAGTCATTTAAGTAATTTAAGTTTTTTAAATTTAGCAAAGTGCTGAATATCCTTTCAGTTTTGCTTTAGTGTGGTTCATGTGCAAGAACCTGCATTAAATATTTTGCTATGCTACAATCAAGTTTTTGTTGTTTTTTTAATCTAGATTTTATGTGAGAGACCAACATAAATTAGTGTATAACTGTGATGTGAAAGAAAAAGACTCCATGGTTTTCAAAACATGAAATCCAGTCGTTTCCTGCTCCGCTGAGTCAACACTTATCTAGCATATCTAGAGACTGAACTTTCTCCCATCATTGCATCCCGCCTTGTTCCAGCTCTTGAGTGAACTCCAAGTTTCCCATCTCACCACAAACTGGGGAGCTGTGCTCTGATTTCAATCATGCCTTTGTGTTTGGTGAAGTTAATTTTCCAGAAGGTGAACTTTGAACCCAGTCCGAGACGTTTTTGCAGCTTCTAACCCAGCAGCTACCAACTGTGGTCTTCCTGCCTCTTTTGGATGAATCCCCACACCAACACATGAATCAAATGGCTTAATTACCTCCACTGCATGCAGTCCTGTTGTGCAGAGGTCTGGTGATGAGCTGCTCATTTGCTTCAGGGGCAAAGAAGTAGCACCCAAAGACCAGAGCGAGTTGTCCTGTATTAGTTGGACCTTTCTTCTCATCAGTGCTCTTTCTTATTTTTTTTATTGTTCTTTTACTGTATAAACAGCGGGTCGGGATGCAGACCCCGCCTCTGCAGAGAAACGGATCAGCCAGGAGACCTGCGAGCTGGAGAAGAGACTCAGCATGTTGTCTCAGTGCAGTCTGGCCAGCAGCTCATGTAAGTCCTGCTATAAACGTTCCCTTTGGGTTTTAAACCAGCAGCACACTGCTCATGAGCTGGCTGGAGTTTAGGATGTGACGCTGACATTCCTACTGTTCTACACGCCGCTAATCCATTTATCATCTGTCCATCCACAGACTGTGGAGACATTTCTGTCTGGGTTATGTGTGTGTTAGTCAGAAATCTGAAGAGGTCCCACAGTTAATTTGCACCGATTGTCTCTGTAGACGCAGTGAGAGTTTAAGGGGTAAATTATAAATCACTGCAGGAAATGATGGTAGTGCTAGTTTTTTTTTCTTTCTAACCTGTCCTGTTTGGCATTGTGGTGCTTTGTTTTTGTCAAGGTGAGGCCCAACAGATTTACTTTCACAAGTGGAGCGTTACGGTTTTTGCTATGATGGTCTACTTGATAAAACTTAAAATAGAAATTTCTTTGAGTTTATCTGAAGTGTAATGGACAAAGAAAAAAAAAATAATTAAAAGGAAAAAAGATAAGAGGTGGGGAGAGAAAGAAGCACAGAGAGAGAGCACAAGTCAAAACCTTAAAGTCTGCCTCTGCAGAAAGACAACAAAATGAGAAACCACAACTACAAACATATGCATGTATTAAGATAACGGTGCATGTAATGTAAAATGTATTTAGTGGCAACTGCAGCCCAATTGAGAGTGTATCTGACAAACACCTGAATCTAAACACCGGTGTGTGTAAATGACAGCGGTTAAACTTCATCCTGCAGGATCAGTCATTTGAACAGCATCGATGATCTGTTGACTTTTCTCTGAATCGGTGTGGTTACTCACCTCTTCATCTTTCTTCTCCTCTCCAGCCTCCACTTACAGCTGCAGCACGCCTGTTGCCGGGGACGACCACAGCTTCTCCAGCTCCTCGTCCAGCCAGTCGGATGCGAGTTACGGCAACAGGTTTCCGTTTTGGGTGGAGCCCTCGGTCAGATCGCACCTTTCCAATGAGATGTCGTCTAGCTCCTCCACGCTGAAGGCCTTGACCCGGTCAGACGACAGACTGTTCGGCGCTGCCAGGGACGGCTCAGGGAGCCATCAGTCTCCTGCGCAGCGCCAACCTCGAGGGCTTAATGACTGCGGCCGCCAGAGCTCCTTAGACAGTGGGATTGGAATAGCGACAGGCAGTCAGTCATCGTATTCTGGGAGCTATTCTTCATGCAACGGGAGTCTGGACATGGCCAGCCAACAAGGAGGAGGCGGAGGAGGAGAAGACGATGAGTCAGTGGTCAGCCCTCCTGCTCCTTTCAATCCCCCTTCTTCACCTCCTCCGATCCCTCCTCCATCACCTTTTCAGCCCGCGGTCGTTCCGGAGCCCACATGCCCATCCAGGTGCACCTCCCAAGCATCTCACAGACACAGCGCGGAGTACCAGATCCCCAGCCTGCTCAGACGGTGGTATGACACCCCCAGGAGTCTTCTTCAGGCCCTGACGCTGAGGGAACCGTTCGCCCAGAAAGCCCCACCAGACCTGAGAGGCAAGGCCTGCGGAGGGGGAGGCAGCGGTCGGGTACAGATGTTAGACGCGAGAGGTCCCAGAAAACTGAGGGCTCAGTGTCAGTGGACGATGCAGCGCTCAGACTCCTGGGGTAGTGAGAGGGCGCCCCCTGTGGACAGTGAAGGAGAGTCCACACCCAGGGCTCAGGCGGCCTCAAGCAGCTCGGTTCCAGCAGAAGTGCAGGTACAAGAAGGCTCAAACGTTCTCATTTTCTCTCTCTGAGATCCGCTTTACTCTCGCATTGCCTCTAAACGATAGAACAGAGCCAGCCGTTTATTTCTTAGGATGTTAATAAAAAAGGAGAACAGGGTAAATGAGCCGGAGATTGCTTCTCAAGATTTCTGCGAAATTAATGTGAGTGAGCCAGGTTAGAAAAAGAAAATCATAAAAAGCCATTTAAACTACTTCCATATCTTATTCATTTGCATTCACTATTTTCCTTACACATCACAATAATACAAGCCTTAGAAAATTATTTTCACATTTTGTCACATTAATCACAAACTTTAATGCATTTAATTGGAATATTTATATGATGGTTGAATTAAATGCATTCATTTGGAAGAAAAAAAAAAGCAACATATTTTTAAAAGTGTTTTACTAACCACAGCCTGAAGTGTGCAGTGCATTTCTATTCAGCCCCTCTGACTCAATACGTTGGTCTGGTCTCTACCAATGTTACACATTTAGAGACTGAAGTTTTTCTTCTTTCTTCTCTGGATCACATATCAAGGCTCAGTGAGTCAGACTGGATGGAATCAGGAACATCTACATTCAAGTGTGCAACAGATTTGCTTTTGGACTTTGACCATGTCATGGTTCAGGGACTATTTTCTGCTGGAGGGTGGATCTCTTCCCCAGGCTCAAGTCTTCTGCAGCCTCTAACCAGTTTTATGCTGCATTTAGCTCCACTGATCTCTGATCAGCTTCCCCTTCATTGCAAAATATCCCCCTGCACTAAACGGGTGCTTGAAGTCTCAAGAGTCAAAGACATGTGAGACTCAGGTCCAACTCACTAAAGATGACCATCACCTACATTCCCTGCAGCCAGTTCAATATCAGATTCAATGAGTAAGAAATCCAGAGGAGAAAACATGAGCTGAAACATTTGTAGGTGGTGGAGTGCATGTTTAAGCAGTGTGGGCAGCATTTAGTTAAACAGAAACGCAGATTTGATGTTATCTGCTGTGAGGAAACGGGGGCAACTCTTTAGTGTCACTCTGCTGTCCGAGTTCGGGTCGGGATAAGAAATACACGAGGAAAGAGACGGGAAGCGGCAAATATTTGTGTTTCCTGACTTGATAGCCTGTCTCTTTGTCTTTGTAACATGAAGCCATCCCTTGGCTACCTTTTCCATCTGTCCATTCCTCTGTCAATCTAAAATTTCACCACTTTTTTTCCATCCACCTGTCAATGAGTCTTTCTGGAATTACGCCATGAAAAGTGTGTAGGGATCCTGTTTAGTGATAATACCCAATAGGTCACTGTTCATGTAGTGCAGGGATGAAGTTCATGCAACTTTCTTTAAGCTGTTTCTACAGATTTTTATTCTCACACTAAAAGTTTAGGACATACAACTATCTGGTCCGTCCGAATGACTTTGGATGTCTTTGGTCGGAGAACCGTGGGTAGAGAGACCCGCTGAGCAGATCCAAGCTCCACACAGAGGTGACAGTAAAACAAAGCCAAGTATTTTTAAAGCTCTGAGGTAACCGAGCCGGAGCACAGAAGTGAGAGGCCTGTTATTATTATAGGTGTCCATCACCAGCCCGCCTGCTGGTCTGTGTTGTTTTCTCTTTGATATGTTTGTCTGAAACCTGAAAAGCCCCCAGACGACATCCCCCGCGCTGCGGCTAATTAGTTCTCCGCTGGGTTTGTGAACAGAGGCTTCTTCTTGTTGCTGGGAAAAGGAGCGGCGGGTTTTTTAATTAACTTTTTTTTTTTTGCTCATCATTTGTACGAGCGTGCGTTTGTGCTTGTTAAACTGAACATGTGTGAGGAGAAAGCAAAAGGTGACTGATGGAGTAAATGAGAGGTGATGAAACTGCCAGAAAGTCCTGCTGAATGAAACGCGGATGACTTTTCTTTGTTTCTCGTTCCTCAAGTGTCAGAACTTTGTCAGAATGAAACAAACCTTCGCATCTGGACTCCATAAGCAGTTTGTCTAAAGATAAACTGTGTCACATGATGTAACTGAAGACCTGGCTGGTTGCCTTGTTACAGGCTGTGAGGAGGAGAAAATGGTGAAATTGGCTCGCTGTCAGACACTTCTCCGGGAGGAGGCCGCCACCCTTTTGTCTCCTGTCTGCCACCTCTGAAGATGTCAGCGCTGCCTCTCAACTCTGTAGCATCCTCTCTTCTTCACCCCCTGCCCTCCTCTTCCTCACTGTTGCTCCTCTATTAATTCATTTTGAAGCCTCTTTGTCTACAGCAGTCGTCTCCCTCCTACTGTCCGTCTAGCCCACTGAGTAAGAGGGAAAAAAACAATTTACTGCCTTGACTGAAGTGCTCGTCTGTCTGCGCTATTTGGTTTATATTACATTACACCACAACTTCAAAGAGGGTAAAAAATGCTCTTATAAGTAGTCGCCCTAAATGATGATGAAAGATGCTCTTGCACATTGTGCAGCCTGGACTTCAGGCCTCTGACTCATCATCGTTATTTACTTTGTTTCAGACAGAATATGTGAGCCACAGAAAAACAAAAAAAGCGGGCCCTAATAGAGGCTCTAACACCATTGAGTCCATCTAGTAGAAAAGTATCGCACAGAGCTTGGTCCAGTTTGTTTCTTTAATGTTTCCTGAATGGTATCGAATCCTGATTCAAAACTAATATAGATCTACATTCTGACTCTTCTTCTGGAAACTGAAAGTTTGACCTTCTGTTTGGAAATAGCTCAACTTTGGTGAGATTGAATGGAGAGCATCTGTGAACATCAGCCTGCAGGTCTTCTCACCAATTCTCAATTGGATTTAGTTCTGGACTTAGACTAGACCATTCAAAGGAATGAATATGTTCTGATTTATAACTGGGAGTTGTTCTGTTTTTAACTCCACCGTCTTCCTAATCACTACTGAAGGAAGGCATCCCACCAGCATGATGCTGCTGTCATTATGTTCTGTGGTGGGGGCAGACGCTAATGATATTTAGGGGCCTGGAAAAGTTTGGGAACCTTGTATCTAACAAACCTTGGAAGCCTTCAAAGAATAACTGGATCCATTCACTCAGATTGGATGGGGGCGGGAGGGATTCAGGGCTTAATGCATATTTCTCCCAATTTCTTCTAACATGTTTTTCTTTTCATCTCAATCCATTTCTTCTAGGAACATGGCTCTTTATTAACAGATCTTTCTTCTGTCTTTTCTACCAAGACACAAGGTGCGTAGTATGAAGTGTAAGACAATTTTTTTCCTGTGTATGTACTCCAACATATTTACTAGTTTTTGATGATATTAAGAGAAAAGGCTGCACTTCATTTTAATAAAAACCTTTCAATAGTTCATGGTTGTGTTCAATGACCTCAGTGCAAAGGGATGTCATAAACTGTTGCCAAACTCTTGTGCAGGAGAGAAACTCGGAGACAGTGAGAGTGTCGAGGTCAAAGGTCTGAATAGGAAGTTGTCTGGTTCACCACCTTCAGTTCCTCCTCCACCTCCTCCCCTAACGCTTAGTACGCTCAGAACGGTATCAGCATGTGGTAAGTAAAAAGTTAATTTCTTTGGTTAAATGAAAATTCTAATTTTTGTGTTGATTTTCTGAAATGCTCACTGACTGCAATGTGAGACCAAAAATACCTGGACAGAGCCCTAATGCTGAGTCCTTTGGTCAGAGTTTTAGGAAGTGGAGCATTTTCTAAAGGAAGCCTTTGCAGTTTTTTTTTTTGTGGTTTCTCCTCACAAAACAGCAGAGAAATACTACATGACTGGAAGGACTGCAGCTACTGTGGTTGCAGAAGCAAAAGCTCGAGCATGGGAGGAATTCAGAGATTCTACGGAATGTTTGTTAGCTGAAAAGAAGTCTTAGAAAACTGTTTTAATGACCCAGAAAGTGAAAGAAAAGGACCATCCCAGGCTGTTTGGATTGGTTGATCCAGTCGGAGGATATTATTTGTAACCCTTGCTGAGGGAGTCATAGTAGTCAGAACAATGTGTGTTTTGTAGGCCTTGAGAAAGCTTATGATCATCTTCCCTGATTTATTTTATGGGTTGCTATAGGTCTACAGAGGGTTTCGGTTACCTGTAAGCACTATCCAGTATACACAAAGAAATATATCTGGATTATTGGCACCAAGATGACTTTGTTTCCAATGTTGGTCAGTTCTCTCAGCAACTGTCCTGTCCTTCATCCATTTCGTGGCGTTCATGGTAAATATAGAGTTTTCTGTTTTTGGTACGTGTGGTTCTCTTGGTGTCTTCAAGACATGACCTAGGATATATTGGTCTTCTCTGCAGTAACCCAGCCTGGCTTCAGCATCAGAGTTAGCTTGAGGAGCTGCTTCCCTGGATTGAAAGGAGTCAGTTTATGCGATTCAAACATCTGATCAGAGTTGATCAGATGTTACTCTGGGAACTTCCAGAGGACGTTGGAGAGCATGTCTGGGCTTCCCTCCTGACTTACTACATCTACAACCCAATATTTAATAATTATTAACGACGCAAACTTTGTTAATGTGTTTTATTTTCAGCTTTGTTCCCGTCCAGCCGAGAATCTCATCCGTCTCCATCCACTGGCCTTCACAGAGACTCCGTTGGTAACTACGTTAATATCCCCACTGCTGCCCTTCAGGCCACGACCACAGAGCTGCTGTACTCACAGCTGAACCTGCACAGCTCAACTCATGAGTCCAGTCCACACAGAGCTGTGAGACATGACCTCCTGCAGCTCTACAGACACAGTAAGAACAAATCACTGTCCCCCCCCCACCTTTACCTGGACGCATATTTTTGCTCCCGCCTTTTCCTGCAAAGCATTACCGCACGTGGATGTTAATTGATTTGTTAGAAAATGTCAGCTACAACTGCATTGTGCCTCCACTGTTTTCTACATTTGTTGTTTATAAAAGGACCCTAAACTCCATTTAGATCAATATCTCACTGACTAAAAGTCAGTACATGTTAAATTAATTTACTTTGAAAATCATGTTGAAAAGATGATTAAGTCAAAGGAACACGTGAAGAAATTCAACACTGTTTTAATAGCAAAACTGAAAATGAATGTTACTATCTAAAGTGGAAAGACAATTACAACAGGTGAAACTAGATGCAATAATTCAGAAGTCATTTTAAAAAATCAACACAGAAATGGAAACATTTATTTCCCAAGTACCAGAACAGAAATCCAGCCAAATAAATCATGAATCAAGTGTCAATAAACAAATGCATGTTGCTCTAAATGTGTCTGTCAATAAGCTAAATGATGTTGTGAAATAACATCCAAACATTACCCCCCCAGAAGATGACTCCATCAGGTACGCCCACCTGGACATCGCTGCCATGGAAACAGCTCAGAGAGTGGGGGCGGAGCATGTTCAGGGCAGAGAGGACAGGCTGACTCAGCTGGAGAGCAGGTGGCGAGGGCCACCCAACTGACTCTGCGACGCCCGACTCCAGAAGCACTTCAGAGTGGTTTTCCACTGCAGCCCCCTCTGAATATCTCAGTGAGCTGGAAGGCCGGCTCCCAGTCGGTCGTACCGATCGCTGCTGTACTTTCACACACCCACAGGTTCACCGGCGCAGTCATTTCCACAAGCAATTCATTCCACTACAAGTAAGAAAATGTGTGGGAGGTCTTTCTGCTGCTGTCGTCTTGTAAAGTGCAACTTGTGTTCAAATTAAGTGTTTGACAGAAATTTTACTGCATGGTACTTAACTTAAGGAATGGTGTTTTGTTTTATTTTAACACAAGGTTGGCGCACTAGTAAAAACTGACTTAATTAGGAAGGAATGACACCAAAGTCATGGTTGATTTAGACAAAGAAAAGCAGGGTGCAATGATGTGTCGAGCTGAAATAACATTTGTAAACAAACGCCGTACGCGTTTGCAGCAGGATGCGATCTCACAATGAGATCAAGCCCTCCTCGTTGCACCGAAACCAACAATCGACTGTAAAGAGTCCCAACTCGCCAAGCTATCATTCCGCATCAAAGTGGCGACGCGTTCGATTGAAATAAGCGGCTTAGAGTTGGATCCCCGGTGCAAATGACATTAATCCGAGCCCATGTGGCCTGAGCAGAACACGGCTGAGTAATCAGCCGATCGCTGACATCATTCATCACAGCAATCATTGATTCTGCTGCAGTGGCTCTCGGAGGGGAGCCGCTGCTAAAGGGGAAAAGCACAACTTGGGTTTCAGCTGCTCGGCTTTCTAACATAAGAAGCGATTCAATATTTAGCTAATTCTTTTTACAGCTACAGTTTTCTACCTAATGTCTCTGTAGAAGAGAAAGCCAGATGTATCATGAACATATAATAATGTTATTTCTGTAGGACTTGTAAATATTAGCTGCTTCTTTGTTTATCAAGAAAAAAAAACCTTTACTAGAGAGTATATATTTTTAAAACCTCAGTTGTGTACATTGGCATGTTTTTGTGAAAATTAAAAGATTAACTGCTTGTTCTCTACATTTTTGATTGATCATTTCAACACTTTTGCATCATTTCAATAAAACGACCTACAACTGCCAACAGTGGCAGCAGCACAAACACCAGTCTAAATATTTAATTTTCACAATTTAATTGCATACAAATGCAGAAAAACACAACATTGTTGCCCTTATTTCACCAACCAGATCTGGCAGAAGTAAAGAAGTAGTGCCACATTTTCAGCTTTAGGTACTAAAACTGGTTTTCTGCATTGCATTTGTTATACAATTTACAAAAGGAAATTTTTGTAATTAAATTATTTCATTAACTAATTTCATTTGGTCAGTTTACTAAAAAAGTGAAAGTTTGTCTGTCTGATCTGCAAACTTTGCATCAATCATTCATTCAGCCAGTCACACAATAAAAAAGAAAACCTTATATTTTTCAGTAGCGACAGGAACGATTCCCACAGTTCAAGCAGGGTGCAGTTTCATGATCCTCCAGAGGCGGCGATCAGGAGCTGAACCTCACAGCTCGTTGTGCTGCAGACCCTGACGAGAGATCTTATTGGACAAGTCCTGCATGTGTTTCTTCATCTGAAATCAGAGGCACACGTTTTGCAACATGCTTCACGTCTGCAGCACTCAAGTTTACAACTAGATAAAAATCTAACTTCTCTTTTTATTGTGTTACTTGTGACTATATCCAAATCAGCTCCAACAAAGATTGAGATAACTTTTTATTTTTTTAGAATTTAGAAGAATGTGATCAAAATAAAAAATGTTTTTCTCTATAAACTGATAATATTTCTATCAAAATACAGAGAGACAAAATGTTTGTTCGAACAATTATTTTCAGGACATAAATGATCAAAATAAGATGAATAATTTTCAGACTTGGAGCAAAGAAAACCAGTTTAAACACCACAATACCGATGCTTTAACTTAGAGCTCAGACTTTCAATTACAGCTTTCATGCGTCTCTGCATGTTTTCCACCAGCATTGCTGTTGGATCTAATTAGTAGCTCATTAAGCAGACTTGTACTTGTCATGAAGTACACTCACTGGAACACAATGAGGTCATTCATGTAGCGATGTTTATTACAAGACAATGCTACATTTGCCTCTTTTTCTGGAGCTAATAATAAAGACGACAGTCAGTAGTCTTAAATCTGTGTAGTTTATATTGTCCAGCAGGAGCTGACTAATTTAGTTGCAAAATTGGTCTAAACTCATTTTCATTTTGAGCCAAATCAAGATCATGAAGGCTCTTAAAGGGCCGGTTGTGCCAGAACATTTTGATAAACCTGTTCACAAACTGTTAATATGTCAATAAATTCTTAAAATTACATTATAATTTTGATCATCTTTTCAGTCCCTTCAGGAACTAATAATAAATGAGACTTTTTATTTACTCGCTGTATAAATCATGGACTATAATCATATATCAACTAAATTCTCAAGAAACTGGAGGGACTGTTTGATATAAATTGGCAGTAAACAGATAAAAAATGCATTGATGTGATTTATAATATAATATTTAATCACACATAGTGTTTAGTCTAGTCTGTGGAGGGCCATATAAAAAGCTATGGGGGCTGGATTTAGCCCCCAGGCCTTCAGTTTGACACATGTGGTCTAAATAATGCTTTTTTGGTGACAAAAATCAACAGCATCGTTTGGTTAATCACATCCATTCCTGTAGTCTGGGAATGAAAATGTCAGGATTCCAACAAAACAATACCCACAGCATTAAAAAAGACAAGCGGAAGGACACTCTGGTGGGAAACGGCCCCCTGGTGTTCACATGGATGCTACTTTGATGCTGCTGTGGACCCAAACCTGGGTTACAGCAAGTGACATTTGGAAACTTTTTAAATTTGACACATCGTTTGAGCTTTCAGATGTTACGAATCTATTTTTCACATTTTTTAAAGGTTTATTTCAGATCTCTTGTTTGAGATGAAAGGTTTTAAATTAAACTTTTGCGTTATTTTTTTTTTTAGCAGTTTGGTTTTACAGAAGCCCACGTAATTTTGTTTTGTGTTTTTACTTTAACTCCTAAGAAGATAAAACAACAAATGAAAATTTCATTTGGAGGGAACAAAAGGTTTTATAAAAGCCACCAGTTTTGTTATTGATAGAGAAAAAGTACAGATGAATAATTTTAGGGATCATTTTTCTACTTTGTCATCGAGACCTTATAAAATTGGGTCTGTTTTTTTTTACTATTGCAATTGAAGGTATTATATTCAGGAATCCTGAGTGAATAACTCATCATAAGTTTGTTTGACACATAAGGTTTATAAAGTCAGATACAACAAAAAGAAAACTGCTCTGTTAAACCGTTCTGACTGCAGGGGTTCAAGAGCATCCCTTTATTTTATAGAAGATCCTGTCTTACCTTGTAACCCATCTCTCTGGTCTTCTCAGAGAGCGTGTTGTACTTCTCCTGGTTCCTCTGGATGTGCTCTCTGTCTCCCAGAGACTCAACATGTCGCAGCTTCTGGTGAGACAGCTCCAGCTGCTCCTGGTAGTGGTTGTGCTTCTCCACCTTGGTCTCAAAGTGACGCAGCTCCTCCTGAAAGAGCGAAGAGAAAATGGATGTGAACTGAGCAGAGCGAGTTCACCTTCAATTAAATGAACAGTAGAGCTGATAAACACTTGAAGTAGCAGATAAAGCTGAAATGTCACTGCAAACTCAAGCCGAATGCAGCCCTATGATCTTGGCTTCGATACAAAGTGAAGGGCAAAGTAATGCATCTGATCCTGCTTCTACCAAAGCAGCACTTGAGTTAAAAGTTGAACCTCTCGAGTTAAAATGAACAAAATCCTCACAAAGCAACCTTAGTAAGTGCTGCAAGCCTCACCTTGAGAGACTCCAGCTCATCTTTGCTGAGGTTTGCCCTCTTTGCAGCCTCCCACAGTTCAATCACACGCGGCTCCCGAAACTCTGCAGAGCAACGACACACACAGAAAGGATGAAGAGACAAACTAAGGAGACTGTTTGGAGCAACAGCAACTCTGAAACAGAGACAAAAGATGTTCTAATATGACAAACAACATACCCCGCTTCTCACTTGTTCTTCACATAAACAATAAATGAACAATGTTTCCAAATACTTTCCAATTCACAAATTTAGACATTACCTGAATAAAACAAAAAGAAGTAAAATTTCTATCCATTTTCCACAGCAAATATCAAAATTTACAGTGAACTTAGAATACTGGGATAAAACCATCGTCTCAAATGATCAAAATTAACATATTGTTAATGGGGAAATAAAAATGGATGGGAAAAGATGTTGCCATTTTACTAGTTCATTCGGTCTCTGTAATAGTATGTGGAGATGAATTGATCATGTAAAGTCAACTCTTATTGATTATAAATTATAATTTAGGTTGTAAAAATATGTTATTGGGAGTTTTGATGATGTCTAAAACTTCAGAGAAGACCTCTGCAGGTTTAAACCACTGCATTTAGGTAGAAATTATTTTTAGGATACCTCATATAAATAAAGACATTTATCAGTTTTATAAAACATAGCAGCAGTGAACAGAAGCAGCTGAAAGTCTCACATTTGTACACATTACCAGTCACTATTGCAGTAAATTATGAGTAAACAAGAAGTAATTAATTTCTCAGCCATCAAGCATAAACATATTTCATTATTTTACTAGAGATGAAAATGATCAATCAACATCAGAATCTGATAAGTTTTCCCTTTATCAGCTCTAATCAATGACTGGTAGGTCAAATTTAATAAATTACAACTGAAAATCTGTACCAGTGTTAGTGAATAAATATATCAGAATGTACTCTAGCGCACTCTGTTTTTAGTTCAATAAAAAGGCTGATAAACGGTAGTGATAAATGCCTCGGTTTATAAATGGAGATCATTACTTCATTCCTTCAATTTATGAGATTCAAACTGCTGCCAAGCTACCATTTACGACAACAGTAATAGAAAATAGTAAATAAATTTAGTTGCTGAATTAAAACTGC